ATTTACGCACATTCCTAGATATATGTCTGGTACACAACTGCTGCTTCGGTCCCTCATATGGCATTATCAACATTTTTTAGTCTCTCCCTTCTGGCACTCAGAGGGACTTTAATGAGGTCAGAATCATGGTCATGGTTTCAGGCCAGAAAGGGACACCATTTGAAGTTTATATAAACCCAAGAGCAAATATGTAATATATTGCAGCTTACCACTCCTAGATGCCATGGCTGCATTCGTTTTCTATTCTTCATAGTACAGAAAAACACCTGTTGAACCCGCATATAAATCCAGCGTGCTTGTCACTTCTGGGGCCTAACGGAAAACTCAAAACAATGTCATCAGTCTTACCAGTTCACCTTTGTAGACTACAAAACAGCTTAATCAATGTTTCTAGTAAGTTCAAAGGCACATTGCAAGTGAATCAAACATAATTAATTGAAAGCAAGCGTTTAAAATGCATGATTTTCTCCATGATTTTTCCAGCATTCTTTATTTGGTGACAGGGTCTCTATTTACTATATCTAATGCCAAAACCTTAATATCAGTTTTGGATAGAGTAAGGAAGGCTTAAAACTCCTGTCAGGTTTTTTTTTTGCTATATGTATTACCATAGGCAGATTTTCTTTCCTTTCCTGTTCCATAGATGCAATAAAAAATATGCGGAAATTAGGGAGTGACGTCTTCTCTTAGACAGTTGTCACCACAATGTGTGCCCATTGGACAGTTTCCCCTAATACCTTTTGTGGTGACAACTGAAATGCTTGGATATTTCCTTAATTTCAGTTACCACGACAAATGGGGATGAATCTCTTCCCAGTGAGAAAAAACGGCAATTAAAACTTGTCAGGATTGCTAACCCTTCTCTACTCTTCAAAATTAGGAAAAAAACGTTTTGGTTTTAGATGTACTTAAACTGTGAATAATAAATGTCTGTGTTTTAGAGTAATAACTGTGCTTTCTCCATGATTTCAAACTGTAATCAACTACATCGAAGGCTCTCTTCTCATCTTGGTTGGAAATAAAAGTTGAACTCCAGCCAAAACGTTTTGGAGGATTTTAACCTTAGCCTGGTTTTTATTGCTGTCAGTGTACCCTACATGGGAGTTGTTCCATCACTTTCTGTGCAGTGACGGTGGTGACAAAGACTGGAAAGGAGGGCTGTCTCTTCAATGGTAACACTACAGATATACATACAGGGTAAGGATTAGAACATCAGTCAGTTTTTTATTGCTGTCTGCTCTCCTGTTAGGGGAGATTCCACTAACTTCCTTTTATGCAGACCGTAATCCCTAAGACTGGAAGTCATTGGAGATCTACCTAACAAAGACCCGGACAATGATGAAAGCTTAATGGATTTTCTAACTCTTCCCATCTACAGCATATAAAATGTAAAGGATAAGTTTTATTTTAAAGTCCTATTATCTATTAGGCCCCGTGATGTCACCACTCCCGTCTTCTCCGCTCAGGCCCGAACTTGGTTGGTTAGCATCCTGCAGCAGACGTCTCCTTCTCCTGGCCACATCTGCACATTGCATCTATATTGACTTTCATTGGGCTTGTCTCCCAGCCAGGGAATAGAGGTAGACAAGTCCTTTAGAAGTCAACAGGGGCATGCAGTGTGCTGGTGCCGCCAGGAGAAAAAGATGTCTGTCACAGAATATAAACAAACAACCAATGCCAGGCCCACCAGAACTTGGTGAGTATTAATCTATGCATGGGGAGGGAGCAGTGATGTCACTTTAAAGGGGCCTAAAGGATAAGTGCACTTTGTTTTAAAGTGCACTTATCCTTTATAATGTTTTGCCTGGAGTTCCACTTTAGTCTGTCTTTTAACTTTTTTCAATTACACTAAAATGTGTGTACTGCAAGTTTTATTTGATTTCTGGGATCTTTTATGTTGCTATTGCTGTGAATCATCATTCCACATATATCTTGTCTATTGAATTGTGATAATGAATGTACTGGTCTGTGGTTCTTTGTGGCAATATTGTGCATGGCATATACAGTGACACAGCAGTGAGGTGTTGTGTAAATGGTTCCCATTATCTGGTGGTTTGGACTGTATTCAGAAATGCATTCTTATCTAATTTAGATGTGGATTCTGCAAAAGTATGCACAGGAAAGGGAGCCGTGACCCTCCGACCATTCACACAACAAAGGGAAATACAGAAAAGCAGATCTACCCTAGATATTGAGTTGACACCTTGTAAGTTATTTATTATTAGAATATTGTTATGTGTCATAATTAAAATAAAGTTGACAGTTGGGTCAGTTCACAAAGTTTGAAATGTATAAATGTTTTTTTTAATTATCAATAGATTTAATATTTTTTCTTATCAATAGATTTAATTCCAATATATAAATCTAGGTTAGGTGTGTAATCTCTCAAGGTAAAAAAATAACTCAAATTTGTGGTTGTCACCAGAACAGTTATAAATAGGAAATCTTCCAATGAGGCCACTAGACCGGTGACACTGCTGACCACAAGGGATTTTTTCGCTTACTTCCTGTTGTGGCTACCAAGCAGAGAGTGAAGGAAAATCTTCCCAATGAACACAAAAGGAAAAAAAAAAAGCCAACAGGGTTCTGACCCTCCCTCACTCTATTAAAAAAAAACCAAACAATAATTTGGCTTCAGTTCTACTTTAACCACTGCAAGCCTTTCTTTTCATTAAGAATCATCTCATGACTATCACCACCTGGAAGAACTTCTTTTCCTGCTCTCCTGAATAGACACCTAAGGCCTGGGAGTTTTTGAGCAGTTGGAAAAGTGCTTTTAAATGCCCAACACAAGAAATCCCATGATTTGCAATGCCCCTGGTTCACACCTGAGCGGAAAAATGCCAGCAGGAAAGAAGCTAAATGCTGAAAAGGTACATGAGCTTCCTTGGGCAGTTAAAAGCGCGTTTTTGCCCCATAGACGTCAATAGAAATGCCCAAGAACACGCGGCAGAAGCATGTTGCACATTTCCGTGAGCGTTTTTGTGCATTTAAACGCGCATTCTTCCATTGCCCGCAATGTTTCATGAGCTGCCAGTCAAAAGCACATCTTCATGTACGTGCGTAAAAACGTGCATAAAAATGTGCACAACGCGCATGAATCCACAAATAACCGCATGCTGCTCACGCGCATACAACCGTGCAAAAATATTGCCGCATAGATGTGAACCAGGCCTTATGCACAGTCAACAGTACCCAAAAGATGATGGTGCATTTCGTACTAACCCATGCAATATTCTTTGTGAATTGGTTTTTACATTCAATATATCCATTAAATTCGATAATAAGATGAGCATGTATTAAAATTAATTGATCCATATTTGAAAACTTCATTTTTAAACATAAATAATAGTAAACTAAAAATACTGTATGGTTAAAGTGTATTTCAACTGTCACAGCCAAATTGGGGTAACACGTACTTTCTTTACCCTTCTATGTAATGTGAAAGTGGAACTGTAAAAAAAAGTAAAATGTGTGGAGAGGCAGGCTTGTTTTGCAGAAGGGACATACTATGTCTCTTCTCCAATAAGGCCTTATTCACATGGGTGCACAGATCCATACATCCATGTAGGGGGCTATGTTTATGTTCATGTGGAGGTACAGGTATTCTGTTCAGCCATCTGTTAAAATTAGTGGCAGGCGTATCTGTCCCTGTAGATAGGGCCACTAAAGATCCATGAAGCTACAGTCTATCATTCATTTTAACAGGCATCTGCATTGAACACCTGTGCCTTCCTGGGCACGCAAACATGGCCTCCTACACGAATGTATGAATGAGGACTAAAGGATTTTTACCTGCCTGCTCGCAATATTCTTCATGATTTTGGCATCAGCCAGGATAAATGCACTCCTGCACATGTGCAGGAGTTATGTCATCCCTGGCCAATCTAGATAACCAAGATCCTGAACCTGGAAATAGACAGGGCAATCATCCTGGGGAGGGAACTTTTGGAATCACATCACTGGAGGGTCGGTGACTTTAGTTCAGATTCTGGAAGGGGCTGAGGAATTATGTTTACCCTTATTAACCCTGCCTGCATTGTGCTGGCAGATCTCCATTATCAGTCAGTTGTGAGCTAGATGTGCAGGGCTGTCTGTCCTAACAAAGGGTTAAAGTGACACTAAACTCAGGCGTTAAATCTTAAAAATGCATTCAAGTACCTTAAGTATTAACAAAAATGTATCTTATTTGTGTATCACTCGGCTGTAGATCCTCAAATCATCTCTGAATTGGTGCTGACACTGTTCTTCCTTCTGGAGGGTGGCTACTTTTGTTCTCCAGGGTCCCTGTGTGTGTTGTAAAGAAGCCACCGCTCCAAGCTCACCCCCACGATGGAGTATAATCTCATGTTTAGTTTACTAATTTGCATTATAATTGTAGTCTATCATGGGAGCGAGCTTGGAACAGTAGCTACTTTAAAATACACACGGACCCTCCAGAAGGAAGGACAGTGTCAGCACAAATTCAGAGAAGATTTGAGGATCTACAGCCGAGTGATACCCAAATAAGCTACATTTTTGTTGGTATTTAGGGTACTGGAATGCATGTTTAAGGTTTAACTCCTACGTTTAGTGTCACTTTAAAGATCTCAAGGCTTGGGTGGTACACTACCCCTTGTCTATTGGCCCTTGGAGATGCAGAGTTCATTACCATAACGCCATAGCAATGACACAAACTAGAAATTACAGTCTTGGCCTTCTGGATGTCCAGTGAACTTCCCAGCTTGCTAAATCAGAACAAGGTCAGATTCACTGGCACTTTGGTGGATGGCTTATCCTACCCATTTCCACTTATATAAAACAATGATCAGCATAAAAAGTCCAACATAGTGATTTCAACTTTTGCTCAGAGAATGGCTACATCCTGTGACCATCCTCTTAGCACCAATAGATACTATTCCTGCGGATGACTATGGTATCTATAACTGTATAGGACTTCACAGTGTAGGCTATTACTCCATACTAGCTTTACATTTCAGGCTAGAGGTGACCTAGACCAGCCACAAAAGGGCAGATCCCTCAAGATTCTGCCTGTCCTTGCCCTCACAGGGGGATCACCAAGACCTGACTGGGTTGACGTAGATGTGAAGCAGAGAAGACTCATTCTCTTTTCTGTGAAGAAAAGGGAACAGTCAGAGTTTGATGGCATTTTTCAAATATCTGGAAAAATCTTTTTATGATATGGAGTGCTTCCAGTTCTTGGAAATGTTTATGCTTTTTATCATCCTACTGCTAACCCCTACCAGATCATATTGTCAGAAGCAATGCGTATTTCTGTTACTTTCAGGCTGTATATGGCCATTTATATGTGTGGGAGTTCTTGAAATGTTTACAACAGAGTCTGAAACATTTTTCTATGTAAACACACTTGTAATTTTATGTTTATTGGCCCTTTAATCAATCCTAGTGCTTATTTAGTGTATCTGTACAGGCTGCTGAGCTTGGTTTCTCTACTGTATGGTTAAGGTTTCCACCAAGTAAAGGGAGGTCACACAAGTGAAGGAGGTCACAGCAATACATATAATACAAAAATTAGCACTCATTGGGCTCCTTTAAGCATGCTTTTTAAGATTAAATTAGTATAACAAAAACTGACTAAAAACTGTTGTTCTGTATGTCACAGCTAGTGTGTCATGTCTCAATCAGCTTGTCAGAACATCTCTCCTAGAGCTACGTAGATGTGAATGCAAATCACAAACTGCAATTAGTGTCATATCAAGCACTTTAAATTCTATGCTTATTATAGGTTTTAAAAACTGTAGCGTGCAGTTCCATACGTCTTAAGTTCACAGAGCCAGATTCACATCATGTTCACAGCTTTCAACCACTTGATTGTGTTTTTCCCATTCAAGCTGACAGACTCTGTGGACAATTCTTCCTTTATTACCCTGAAAGATTTCTTTGTGTCCGCAAAGGTCAGAAGGAGTGAGGACATGATATGTAATGCCAGTTACTATGGCACTCGGCATTAGCAATCCCATTTGGGGCTGTTGGCTGCAAGATACTCGTAGCTCCCAATAGAGTGATATTCATCTTTATATGTATTTCGTGTCTAACAGATTCCTTCTCATTTTTCTTTTCATTTGCTTAAATAAAAAGGCGACTTGCCAGCTGAAGGAGAGGCAGGTAAGAAAACATTCAACAAATCTATGTTTTTGGGACAGCGATCTCTATAACAAAACATCAAACTTGAAAATTATTCTCCATCTGTGTAGATGACAGGCCTGCTTCAGTAGCTGAATCTAATGGGGATTCTCATCACTCTTCTCTGACTGCCAAAGGATTCCGGAGTGTCCGCCCTAATCTTCCTGCTGACAGCAAAATTCAGGTACTGTAATACTGTCCTCGGACATGTTTGATTTTAATTTTAGTGTGTGTGCTTTTTTTGACATTCTAGCTTTCACTACCCATTGTTGTATTAAAGAAGGTCTTTATATAGTTAACGTTCTAGTTACCAACACATCATGGAAGTGCAGTAATAAAGCACCACTTCAATTTTCAATAATTCAAATTGACATTTGCTTTTTCAAGGTCCTCACTACTAAGAACAGGAATGGTCTGCCTGTCTGCATGAGATCTTTCACTGACTCTCTTGTGATAGTGTTCATAGGACAAAACTATACTCACTTGCAAGTCAGTGAAAGAGGTCCGTCATCTTTTTCAGCTGCATTTTCAAAGCAAAGAGTAGACTCGGGACAGTGCTAAATTACTTTTGCATTAATTAGATGCTGGTATATTGAGCATGACTTCAGTGCTTTTGAATACATTTTATTTACATGATTATGATTTTTCTGCAGTATGGTTTGTTGCAGGTTGAAGAGGGTCTCTATATTGCATTTAATGCAATTCTTTTTCTGCAGCTAGTAAAAGAGAACTTTGATTAAATAATGACAGAGAATGATCTTTCTTTGCTATTTAATATTCTATGTTATTCTGCAGCTAGAAATGTGTGCATGTTCGGTTATTTAAGCACTAGGTTCTATAAATGGAGATTCTGTGTGCCAAACACACCATCGTTACAGACTGTACACTGTGCATGATTTTTTCTTTTGCATTGACAGCCTAAAATATGAAATAGCTAAATGAAAGTTTAAATGCATTTTAATTTCACTTTTCTGTCACAAGAAGATGCATAAATTCCTCTTTTGAACATGTGATATATATTTTAAGCCATAAAGAATTTGCAGGGAAAAAGATACATGCAACATCCTGGGCTTGCGAACTCTTAGCACTTTGTAATCAGGCTTTTGGGGAATACATTTATTTAGTTTGAATATGATAGGCAGCCTAATGGTAACCATAGACCAGCATGTCTCTAATCAGGAATTGATGGATGGGGAGAGACCTGCTTACACTCAATCTTATTGCCACGCTTTTGGGACACACAAGATAAAATTCTTATTGTACAAAAGGGAACAAGCACCACCCAGTCACATGGATTTCTTAACACGTGCAATAAGGAGCACTTCAAGCTCTTTGAATCTCTGGGTATCTGTCTAGTTAAGCCCAAGTGGCCTAGTTGTTATAATAGAGTCTCAAATCTATCGCATTGCTTGCTAGTATCTGGCCACCAGTGTGCATCAGAAATAATTAGAAAACTAATTTATTAGTGTTGTGTGAATTGATGCCTAAAAAATATATATCTTTAGTTTTGGGTACAGTGGGGAAGGTTTAGAGCCTCTGTCCTTTTGCTGTCTGTTTCCTTGCTGATTCACCCTCTCTATTTGTCTTTGTGATCATTGTAATTTGGAATGCCAAAGTAATGGAAAAGCCCAAATTTACAGTTGTCGCCAGCACAGAAGGGGGAAATATTTTAATGGGGATATTTTGCAGGAATTTCCTCTCTTTTCTTGTTGGGTCTCCAGGATGGAAAGTGAGGTGAAATATCCTCAACAAGGCATACATTGCAAAAGAAAGAGAAAATCTGATCAGTTTTATCCTTTTCCTACTCTATCCAAAGCTTATATTTTTTGGCTATAGATACAATTTTTTTTTGCTTAAAGTACATCTCTAGCCAAAACTTTTTTCTAGTCTTCCTGTCCCAGAGACGCATCAGGAAGTGGGTGGACAGCTTTTCAAAGTGCTGGAGAATATTTTTTTAAACAATTGCCACCAGAACAGGTGTTCCCTATTAGACGATTTCCCCATATCTGCTGTTTTGGTGATAACCATAAAATATTGGATTTTGTATGACTCTGTCCCATTGACACCAGGACAAATAGAGAGATACATTTCCTTAGCAGGGACACAGAGCAGTAACAACTTGACAATAATTTTAACCCTTTCCTTCTCCAAAACTACAAAGATGTTTTGGCTAGATGAACACTTTAACAATAACCCATCAGAGGCATTATGCCAAGATAAGCTGTGAATCTCAGGAATAGATTGTGTCCCAAATATTAAGAATCACAATCATGCCAAGTTGAAACATTGCACAAATAATAATTGTAGCTTATTTTTAGTACGAAATGTTTTTTTAGTGTGTGTGTGTGTATATATGTATATTGGTAAGCCACTGCAGTGGCGGTAAGCACAGAAGTGCGCATTACTGCAGAGGCAGGCAATGGAGGAGTGGCAAACAAAGTGGATGCATGTGGGGCAGGTGGTGAGAGCAGAAGGGGAGGATGGGAGTTAGCTGCTGTGGTGACAGGATGGGGTAGCTGGCTCGGTGGTGGTGAGTGGTGTCTTTGCAAAAAGTTGTCAGCTGCAACTCCAGATGCAGTCCACCCCTCCAGCAGCAAAGTTCAGCCATGAGGTGGTGGTGTGAGCTGCCAGGGGAGAAATTACAATGCCTGTGTAAGCTGCAGAAGCCAGGAAGTAGGGTGGTGGTATGAACTGAGGAGGACATTAGAAGGCCATGTCACATTACCTTGACAATACCCCCAGAGTGGACCTAAAATTTAGTAACAGTACTGCTGATCTCCTCTAACCTACAGCAATCTTCCCAGATAACGGGATCAACTCCTAGCACAAGAAGTCTACTGTACTTGTGCACTCTGGTGCCTTTCTAAATATATGGCACTGCACTGCAACAACTACCACAATGCATGGGTCTGAAGGAGGCCTAAAGTCTAACTAAATTGGTTTTATAACCTAATTCCAGTAACCCCCCTTACCATGCTAACCAAATTCCTGTTGCACTTATCTTAGATCAGCAGGTGATGCAGGCCAGGAGCCCACACCATATTGGGTGGCACACCATATTGGGTGGAAGAAGCCTCTCTACAGACTTACAAGTAGACAGCTTTTGCATTTGGGCACAGAAGAATTCAGTATATCTGGCACTCTGCACCCTGACATTGCATATTCCTGCTACCCAACACCCCTAACACTGCACCCTCCCTGCTCCCTTTCTCTGAACCTCCCTGCCTCTTAGCACTGCTGACACTGCAACCCAAAACCCCAGACACTGCACCTTTTTGCCAGCCAGGACCTCCCTTATCACCCAGCACACCTAACGCTCAACCTCCCCGTCTCCTAGCACTCCAACACTGTACCCCAAAACCCAAGACACTGCATCTTTCTGCCAGCTAGCAATGTTACCATTCCATATTCCACCACTGCGCCCCAGCTCCCACTTGTCACCTTTGCAGGCACATGCAGAGAGGAGGATAGACTGAGTCTGGCATTTCTGGGTTCCCTGCCCATTTACTCCTCCCTCTGGAGATATAACCTCCTCCCCAGGGCAGTCTGTTGGGGCCAGTCGGTTATCTGTCCTCCGGAGGCCCTGTGCACATTGTGTGTGTTCCTGGGTAAAAGGGGAAGAAGTGCCCACTTCTTGCTGAGAAGAAGAGGGAAGCCAAACAACAAGGTGTTAATATAACCCACCAACCACCTACATTACTACATAAGCCTTCCAGTTTAACAACATCCAAATGTATTCTTTATTACTTTTAGGGTAAGCATTTTATTTGAAATACAACACTACCATTTATCGCTAGTCCCACATCAACTCTTGGACCTTCTATGTTATTATTTTGACCAAGCTTACTCTATATCAGACTGAAATTAAGGGTGGAAACTAAAACTCCTTTCTACTTATAGTATTCATCTTTTACAGAAAGTATATATGCTTGTACTTTTCAGAGGTCCGATATTGTTCTATGTACAATCCTTGTTTTATTGATTGCATGTAATAATCTACTTTTTTGAGGTTGTGGATTTGGGGTTTTCATGAGCTGTAAGCCATAATCATCACAATTATGACAAATCACGGCTTGAATTATCTTGCTTTGCATGTAATGAGTCTATCTCATATATAGTTTCACCTTTTAAGTTGCATTAGTGAAATAAATGAACTTTGCACGATATTCTAGTTATTCGAGTTTCACCTGTATATATACAATTTCCCACTATGCCTCCAAATGGTCTACCAGATAGGTTTACTTGCCTAAAGTGTAACTTGCTTTTTGTAGACATGTTGCTTTATAAAAATGCATACAAACAATAGTGAAAAAGAGATGTTGAAGGAATCTTGCACTTAGATACAATTGTTTTTATTCATTTGTTCGTGAACCACTTTTTTTACTGTAGTAAACATCGCTTTCATCTTTTTACATTCTTTGCCTATTTGTGTATATGGAATTCACAACATTATACCCTTCCAATCCATCAAAAATCCTGTTATATAAAGCAGCAACAGTTCATTAAATGAAGACATCCATTTCCATATTCAATGTTGCAACTTTTCAGATACCTGTTTTTCCTTTGTTACTCATTAACCTTTTTGACCATTTCTTTCCTTTCTCATTTTCCTACATTTTTGTGTTCCATGAACCATGTAGAAAGTGGTCCCTCCTCCAATCCCCCCTCCTCCCAAAGAGGAGAGCTTTGCATGGCGCCCACATACTAACACCAAACTGTCTTACTTGAAACCGGTGCCTATCCTGGATGGGCTTTACCTAAGCGCTCCAAAGCCTTACACACCGCATGTTTCTAGCACACCACGCCACTCTACCATGTGTACTCCCACTGCTATCCAGTGCATCTCTGGAGATCACACAACCATCCTGGGCTGTCCTATGCACAGAGCAGAGCATGCTGATAGTTATTTGCAATCCAGCACATCACCTAAACACCAGGCTAGTGAGTCTAGCAGTACAGAAAGAAGCGTTGCTGGAATGAATTTGAGTCATGAGCCCAAAGCCGATAAAAAGGTCAGCAGTCTATATGTAGCTTGTTTATCTAACAACACTGGCTCAGCTGCATCTGAAAATCCTACCGGCGCTGCACATGATAAAACCGAGAGTGCTGAATTGGGATCTGATGTAACTAAATCACCAGCCACAAACATTGTTCCTTCGATAATAGACACCGGAAAATCCCCACCTCCCATCCCTCCAAGGCCATTCTTTGACCCTGTCCCAAGTAAAGATTCTATTAGCTGCAGTGAAATAGATACTTTCTGGAGTCAATGCCCTCTACATCAAGATATGGGACGCACAGAGCCAGATAGACAGCATCCTGCTGGCCGTGTCAACATGACTGCAAAGGAGCCCTTCTTTCCATCAAAGCAAAAACAAGCCCCCAGGGTACAGAGATTCCGTGGCATGGTACTTGTTTCATATACTTTATATTACTTCCCATTGTGTTCATCACTTTCCACTGTGTTCATTACTAACCCCTGTGTTATTGTTACTTTTTACGTGTTGCTGGAGTACCATCTGTTCCACTCCTGAGTAACCTGACACCCTTTTATTCTATAGCACTTAATTAAGTAGCACTTTTACTTTTTGTCTTTGTAATGTTATAGTTGTTTTTTTAAATTTATACCTGTATCTTTCTGTGTTCATTGCCCAATTCAACAACATTTATTAATTCTGGCGGAAGTGTACAGGTATAGATGCTTTCGAGGATTATGCACTTTCTTTCTAACTTGTTTTCGGTGTAAGTCACCTTTTTGACAAATTTGATGTGGTTAGACTTGGAAATGACACAATCAATTTTGTAAATAGGAGTCGTTACCGGACTATTTATTTTTCCAGAACAAGCTCTTGAGTTATCAATTGTATCAGTTAAGAAATTATCAGATTGCTTGTTATAAAGGGTAAAGAGTACTCAGAGCAGTACCTTCTACAGCAATTAAATGTTTTCAAAGTAATACTTGAACAGACACAGCATTTTATGTCTGCAGTCAGTTGTACTATGTCAACATTTAAAAAATTTGAGCACATTCCACTCCAAACAAGAATATTCAAGAGCTTGTTGAGGTATAAAGAGACAAGACGACTAGTCAACATTAGTTGATTTACTATCCTGTAGAAAAATACCAAAATTTGCTAGAAAGGTGGTATTGGTTTTGGCTGTTTGTTTTGTTTTCAAACTAGCATTTTCTTTATTTATCTGTTAATATTGGGCTTTATGTATCACTGTGCCATCTCTTTCCAAGCATTTGCAGCACTTTGTTTTTTATTTCTCGACATGCAACTGCATGTCATAACACAGCTGCACACTTGTGTACAAATGTTCGTCCTACGTAACATCACCTTTTTCCCACAGGATGCCACTTCAGTCACAGCTCAGCCTGAGGTTATAGTAGTCCCACTCATCCAGGTTAAAGTTGAAAGAGAGCAAGAAGGCACTTCGAGCACTCCACCACCACCTCTTGTACCCGCTGGCAAACTCTCAGCCTCCCCAGAACTTGTCACCTCTAACTTGGCTTTTCCGACACTTGATGATTTTATTCCCCCTCATCTGCAAAAGGGATCACACGATAGACCCAACTCTCCCAGTTATTCTATTCCAAACAATCTACCACCTTGCTCTCCACCACCTTCACTGGTGCCATCGGAATACTCACACAGAGTCTCGAAACTTGATAGCAGTGACGCCATCTTACCCACAGTAAGCTGCCAATACCCTCGCTATTTACTCACAGCGTGAAATTCTTCTTACTAGCTTACTAAACCCTGACAGGTCAATGCCTGCCTTCTGCAACAAAGCATGACTAACCGTTTTTACTCTTATATTAGTGCATGTATTGTTTGGATGAAACTGTTGTATTGTCTATTGGACATTCATTTTTGTAACTGCTGTTTTGGTATTTCTGGATATTGTTTTGTACTCGTTTACTGTAGATTATCATATAATGGTGTGTGTGACTTCTAACCATTATATGGGATGGTAAATAAACAAACAGAGCAATGTGTGTAATGGCATTCTGAGTGCCTTCCTCTCTGGATGATAGCACACCTGTTTTTCATAGTTGAAGTGGCTCTGCAGGCGTCTCGTTGTCTATGTCCAGCGTGACGATGCAAAGCTTATTTTTCTACTCATCCCAGTCAAGCCAAGTGATCCAGTTTCATTTGATACTGCATGTGTTTGCATGTCTGACTACTTGCTGTTAAAGAGATCCTGTCACTATTTCCACTTGTTAGGTAGATGCTGTTATGGAGTGGAGTATATCACTTAATGATCTGTAACAATATGATACCAAACTGGAGATCTGTTAGGAGGGCAATGTTCTTCTCTTGTCATTCATTTTAATGATGTTGTTTTGTTCGTTTGCAAATGTGATGTGAATAAACCCATTGTGCTTTGTTTTCAGGAGCCTGTGTTTGACGAAGTTCCAGCTCACGTTGTAAACAATGATAAACCGTATTCATTTGTACCAACAAGCAAACACTCGGTGTACCCATCCACTACCACAGTAAATCCTACCATAGTACTTTTGCAGCATAATCGTGGTAAGTTTTTCCATGTAGCTGTTTGGAGACTATGGAAATAAGCAAACTACCGACCTTCTGCAGCTACCGAGATGATTTTCCCAGGACGCCTTATTAGATTCTATTTGATAGAGCATGCAAGAATTTCAGGGTCAACATACCATAAAACATTCCAGAAAGTGCAGTTTCTCTGCATAAAACCTTCTCCATCTAAAAGTAATACCTGATTGTAGGATGATCACACGAAAGTTGAATTGTCTGCTTGCTTCTTCTTTCAGAGACTCCAGTGGTGAGGTTTTCACCTAGTAATTCTACAATATTGAGATTTCATAATGAAAGTCTCATTGCTCCTTCTTACAATTACTGCTGGTTGTGTTTTGCATCCAGGGAAGGCTGGTTTACCAATTGTGGGCCTAAAAAAGTACCCTAACATATGGAATGCTACATTTGCAAACTGGGCTGACGCTTCATTCATGTCAGTGCGTCAAAGAGTGCTGTGTGATACCTCATTTATATGCGTCAAAGAGTGCTGTGTGATACCTCATTTATATGCGTGTGTGTATTTGTGTGTGTGTGTGTATATACAGTGGTTTTAGGTGTGAAGAAACATTGTATAAAGTTCTGCAAGTGGCACTTCAGAATTCTTCTTAGGCCGCAGCAACACATAGGCCTGTTACTCTTATCTTAAGCCATACTCCCTTACCCCCATGTCTCACAGAGGATGCCGAAAGATATCTTGCTACAATGTGCCTGCACCACACATGAAGGAAGCAGTACTACTGCCAGCAAAGTTTTGAAATAACAGGCCAATACAGGCCCAAGCCAAAAACCTCATCCATTAGCTGAAGGATGTTCCTGAGACAGGATCTTCCCTTGTTTTATGGATGATCTTATCATAGTTTTATTGATAACCTGTGCCCATAGTATGGACATTAATACATTTACATATTCTTAACAAGCAGTAAATAGCCATCCCTGACCCCTCTAGCTGCCCATACTCAGCAGGGCTGCCTATTGGATCTTTCCAGCGCTGCATACACATCAGCAGGGCTGCCTATGGATCTCTCCAAGGCTCTTTGGACAGGTGCTGGGTTGGAGCGTAGTGAGCCGTACAGAGCGGGTGCTGGTCTTGTGCCCACTCTAAAGCTGTATTTGCAGTGTGGGGCTGCCTCGAGCTTTGCTTGAGCCGGGAAGGTGGAGGTGGAGATGTGGGACCTGGCAGGCAGTGTCAAAGACAGCTACTGTCAGGTCCCCAGAAGGCTGCCTCAGGCCCCCACAAGCGTGGGACCTCGGCAGCCGACCCGAATAAAAAGTTTATACTAGGTATCAGCCTCTAGTAGCGGGGCATTTTCAGGAGTACAAGTACTCCTGAAAATGCCCTGTATCAGTCCGAATGCCGATACTAGTATCCCTACTGTGAAGTAATTCATTCTACATGATCCGCAAAGATCACAATAAAGAGTCTAAAGTCCAGTTCCACTCCCTTTCTAGCAGCTTAGAAAAGCATGCTGTGTGCTCACATTAGATGGCCGGCAGGCTGCCAAGTTTTCTGTAGTAATAAAAAGTAATTGAAAAGCATTGATGGTTAATTCTCCACAATGCATTGAGCTAAAGAGGTGAATAAGAGCTTATTTTAAAGTGTTTTTACTGCTTGTTCAGAAAATAGAAATAATTTTGTGTGCCTAGTCTGGGCACAGGTTCACTTTAAGTTTAGGAATTTGAGTCCATATCAGAGATGCCTATAGAGTGTTTGGTCAGCACTTTTAGTTTTTCTTTGGCTTCTGACAGATGTGAAATATGAATATTGTATGATGATATGAAAATGTATGATAAATATTTCTGCCTGCGGAGCAGCACCTCCAGCTAAATACTTGCATTCACAATTCTAGTGAATTATATAGCACAGGCTATAATTGCTTTTCCATACAACATGTAATTGTTAGTTGACCTCTCTCTGCCCACTTACTACACAGGAACCAATGGAATGTTACAGCTCCTGAATTCAGATTATGCTGACCTCCGCAATAGAGGAATCACAGCAGTGTACCCTGCTGGGTCAGAGCGATTATAGTGCTCAGTGTGTATGTGTAGTAAATTGCACTAGTTGAAGTCAGCAGCAGCTAGATTGAATGAGTTGGCCTAGCTTGCAGCTCATGATTGTTCCATCTTTATTTATACTACAATGCAATCAGATGGTTGATCATTCCGTGTGTGTTTACTTGCATCATTATTGGAATTCATAATATAGTAAATGGAGTATCACAGATTTAAAAAATGAATATACAAAATAGTAAATACTATATGGAGAGAGGTCCATTTGTTGAGTACAATCCAGCCTCATGATAGGTTTACACATAAGAATGTCACCAGCATATCTTCATCTTTATTAAGTAGAATTCTTCTAAATGTCAACGTGAAACCAAAGCAAATTTCAGGGCAGTTCAGGGTCCCTTCATCAAGGCACAAGTGTCAGTTGGTGTATGGATATACTGAATCATCATTGCTGGATTTAGCCATGTTACTATGAGTCCATGTGGCCAAGTAGAGTTGAATGGCCTGAGCTTTTACTGTATAATTAGTTTGCTTACTGTTTAAGTCAACTTTGTATTATTGCTGATTAAACTGAGTTATTTTTTACCAAATTGTTTTGCACATTAATCATTTTCTGTTGACCTTTTTCATTTAATGTACAGTTCCCTGATAGTATCTCTCTAAAACTGAACTCCAAGCAGTTATTTATGAAAAAAAAAAAATTAAATGCAGTTATGTATTCATTAAAATATCCTAAAACAAATACAGCAGCACCTTACTCTGTCCTTTATATCTGCTTCCTGTATCATCTGCACAACAGCACTTAGACTAAAAAAGGAAGGGATGGCTGTGTCAGCCAAATAGACTCTATTGTATTGCCAAGCAGGGAGGTTAAACCACTGTTTTTCTCAACTATAATAGTCAACAGTGAACCCCCACCCTAGCTATAGTGTGGCAGAGGTTTGTGTATCACAAAAGGTGCTATACAGAATCACAAATGTGAATTTAGCTGTTTGGCTGGAGTTCAGCTTTAATGCCTCTTGCTTTTATTGTCAGTGCTGCTTTTTGAATGTTTTCTTCTTTATGCTTTTGATTGTGCCATTCACTTTTCTTGGTGTGCTTCACAGAAAAAAATAGTTTCCCAATGTCACTGTGATCTTTGAATATTTCATAGAGCTTAGATGTGCTATGCATGGTTTTAATACACCCTTGTCTTACACATATTCTCTGCTTTTTTATCACAGAGCAGCAAAAACGTCTTAGTAGCTTGCCAGGTATGACACCAATGCTATCCACGCTTGTCATGTGCTTTGCTTCAATTATTACTTAATGAAATGAACACTAAATTGGTAGAAAGAGTTTACAGGAATCTATATTCAGCCTTCATAGAAGTGTATATAAATGCCAGTTATAGACTGAAAATTACGGATTTAAAATTGGTTAAAGCCAGTGTCAGGTTTTAAAGTGAGCCAATATATTTTTTCAGTTCCCTAATAAATACAAAAATGTATGTATACTTAATATATTCTTGGCATTAATGGTAAATTGGCAAACCATATCGTTTGTTATATTTACCTGCTTGTAATTTGCAAATTAAATTTATTAGTGCATGCCAAATTTCAGGAATATTGAATGGGCCAAAAGATTTATGAAACTTGAAGTTAAGAAAAGTATTGATAGCAGCCAGATCCACTGTGGATGAAAGCTACATGTTTAGTGGTTGCAGTTTCATCCAGTTCTTAAAAATTGGTTCCGGTTAAATAAAACCTGTACTTGGGGAAACGTGAAGGCTGCTATTGTTGGCTTCCTCTTAAAATGTCAGTTGCCTTGCTCCTTCTGGCTTGAATAATTTCTAAATCGCAGTTCAGGAACAAGCATACAGCAAGTGAAGTCAGAACTCTTGGTCTGCATATTTATCCAATGTAAGTAACTAAATAATAAAAATTCTAATGATTTAGCCTGACAGCCAGGCAACAATGATTTTTAGTAGGACGTCAGCAATGGCAGCCTCTATATCCTCTTAGGTTTTCTTTGAATCTGTTGTGCTCACCTAAGCAGTGGTGTATATATAAATGCACCTGTACGTAGAGCACCTTCGTCTGCAGTCTGCATTACAAATCTAAAGAGGAAGTGAGAATTTTACACTTGCAGCATCATGTAACCTCCTATCAGAAGCGCACTTCTAACCATATCCTATACTCTGTGTTAGCATTATTTGAGGTTTTGTCACTGAATATTACCTTACTTACATTTAGCCACCTATTTTCCACAGACAGGAAGGCATCAGTGAGTTACGCCACCATCCAGCTTTATATATTTCCCAGATGAGAGATATCCTAGTCAGGGTTACTGCTTCTGAATCTCCCTGTGCCATCACAAAGTAGAAGAAAGATGCAATGTCCTGCTTTGTCAATTTTTAATAAAGTAGAATAATAAAGAATTAATAAAAAGCAATGTTTAGAGAACTAGACGATGGGTCAGAGTTGAAAATAACAGAGGTGAAAGGTCACCTCTGTTAAAAGAGTCTTCAAGAAATAAAAGTCCTCAGCAGACTGCTGGATACACGGAAAATATCACGTTGTTCTATACTTGTTTTTTAAAGCCCCGCAAATTAGATTATAGAAATGCAAATCCAGCAACCTCAGCCACCAATTATGTCTCTCTACCACCCTGGTGCCAAATTTGTGGCCCAAACCCTTTGGTACTTATTGTCAACCCTCGGGTACCAGCGGCCTTCCCTGTTTTATTACTTGGGACTGTAGTTGCTTCTGTAATGAACTGTAATGGCAGTAATCTCTAGAAGTCTTGTAACAACATGTCCCCAGTCTCCTAAAACATGTCACTAGTAGCAGGTCTGCAGTCTTTAACCATCTCCTGAAGCATACCCACATTCTCTTACCATTTTCTTTGCTGCCCTTTTTCTAATGTCCAGGGCCACAGTTGAGGCCCTCTATATCAAGTCAGTTTACCGCCAGTGCTCCACCATAACTCAAAATTTTAGATTTATCTTTTAGGGCCTGTTTACACTTCTGCACAATAGATCTATTGCATCTAACCCTGCACTTAAAAGTAGCATGGAAAGTTATGTAACTTTATTTTAAACAGTATTGTTTTATCAATTCTGTTCTTGCCCCATTTACTTGCAGTTTTCAGAAAGCACACCTTCCATAGTGTGAATGGTATCACGTGGGAAATGCATGTTAAACAGACCATAGAAGTGGTTTTCATATGCATTTTACAGCATATAATTTCCACAGTGGTGCATTCCTTGAAAGCCAATCGGAAACAAATTCACAACAATGCATTCAAAATTATTTAAAATGTGTTCAAATGCATGTGTTGTAATGGGGTTTTTCTAAACTGCACTACACTAAACCTGTCATGATAAATCATAAACAGTTATTAGGCGCCCTCTTGTGGAGAATACATTATTTTTGTACAACAGAGTACCAGGTATTCATACTCAACCATTTGTGTATTTACACTGCAGCTGGACATATTGTACAGTGTGTCACATTTAACAATGTCAGATGCTTCAGGCAGCTTCATTAAAAACACAGAATCCATGTATGCTGCAGAATGTAAAAAGGGCACCTGCCAGCTTGCTGTAATTAGAGAATTCCTGTATTATTAATGTTTTATTCTCTGACTCCTTATACTGGAATTCTCTGTGTCTAGCTGTGGGTGGGTGGAATAAGCTGTGCAAATGTCTGGAATGAATCTGAGATATAATTGCTGCTGTCACTGGAATGAGACCAGCTGAGTGTAGCGTTCTAATAACTGCTACACATTTTGGTGGCAAACCACATGATTAAAAATATTCAGATACTCCTTTTTGCCAGATTGGGAGGCAGAATATGGATGAGCATGTTACAGGATGATAATTGCTAACTGGTCTCGCTGTTTGAAAAGTTTAGCTTACTGTGATGTAGAAGTGATTTGTATAAATAGCACTTTATGGGGTTATCATTAAAGTAGGCACAGGTAATAGCACGGTAATAAATATAAGTATGTTAAATATATCCCTAATGTTCATATACAGGGAGCATAGTTATCAAATATTCGATTTAGTAAAAGTTACATTGCCCATCACTACACCGTATGTTAGTCGGCTTGGCAGTTGTACATATTAAAGTGGACCTGCCAGTAACTTTACAAGTCTACAGAAATAATTTTCTAAAACTATACAGCTGTAGAATATTTTTTCAGAAAAGCTGAAAATTATTGAAACGCCATATTTTAGCTTCATCATTCTGCTGCAGGCAAGAGGAAGCATTTCCTCATTCTCCTCTCCTCCAGTGACCAGACTGCAACATTGTTACTTTGTAGCAATCACAAGCTGTGAATGCAACCAATAACTGCACAGGCATCTGCAGAGGCGTATCTACTATAAAATGCGGGTGGGACGCCTGCCAGGGTGAAAGAAAAACAGCTGTTGGGTTGGCTAACTTTTGCTAACTTTTGCTGACCCATAGAGCCATGCCCCCTGCCCCTACAGGTGGCGCCCAGGGCATGTGCCATGACCTGGATACGCCACTGGGCACCTGCAACTGTATGATTTCTAAGCTAGCCTCTTAGTCCAGGAAGTAGATGCTGATCCAAGATAGTGCCTGATCCAAGGCATTGTCCTCCTTATGGAAGGATAAGTACATGACGGTATTGTCAGGCGGAGTACTGTGGCCTCTGTAGGTATTAAGCTGGCTATACACTATTAAATTTAATTACTCAATCAATTTTTGTCAAAGGAGCCAGGATGAAAATGGTCCGTCATACAGAGGTTTCAGTCAATTAGCTGCAGTCGCTGTTTGGGTATGCTGATGGTGGCGGGAGCTGGCTGTCGAAATACAATAGCTCAATGAGGATGGATGAATCTGTTAGATTGCCATCGTTTAGCTCTGAGGCTGAAGGAAAGAAATCTATTTGTGTATGGCCAGATTTACCTATACCCATTACCTAGCATGCGTGCAGTTAACATGAAAAAAAATATCTGATGCTAGGTCCACTTTACCCAATCTTACCAAATTTAGTATGTTTCCCTATAAAGCTGAAAGTGCAATTTCACAGTGCCAGGATGTAGTTGTCAGGCACTTCTCAAATGGAAAGCCATGACCAGTGTGTGCCCTTCGCCTGTCAGAATTTAGCATAGATCAGTTTTTTGCCATTGCTGGTAAATCTTACTAAACCTGCAGGTAAGCAAGGCTAGTGGCATTTGGGTGCCATGCATCACCACCAATCCTAGGCTGCTATTGTTTGTCCCATTAACCTACATCAAATTGAGTTCAGCTTCTAATTGGGACAATAATGACAAAGTGCTTTATGTCAAATTTCCCAGTCATGCTGAATGATGTGGATGAACAACACGTATCCAATCTATTGCTTGAAAACTTGTTTCTGGAAATTGTGGCGTCTCAAGACAAAAACATGTTGGAAACACGTAAAATGTTTTTCGGATATAATGAATCAATCATTTACCAAGCGAGTTAACAAAAGAAATTGCAACCCTGAGCCAGAAGTCTTGTGTTTGTAAGGCTTGCTTTCTAATTATAACTCTGATTTATTCTAGAGATCCAGAGTTACTTATTACATGCACTGAGTAGGAGTTGGTTTATTTGCTAAACGCCAACAAAAAGATAAACTGTTTTAAGCAGCAAATATAATTAGCATACATTAAATTACTCAGCTGGCTTTATTCAGTAGGGTTTTAATTCATAAGTTCAGTTACCAGTGATAATTGTTTTTATTGAAATCAAACCAGTACAAGAGAGGTTGAGTGGTTAGCATTTGCTGATCAACAGACCCAGTTAAACATAGTCCACCTTGGACTTCCACTGAGTGAACTCTGATTAGTTGCAATAGATTACTAAACTTAAAAGTAAGTACCATTTAAAAAAAAAAAAAAGAGATAATACTGAACCTGTGGGTTGGTCTTTATATAGAACATTAGACTACATAAACACATGGTACGTCCTTGTGTTATGACTTTTGTTGTGTTTCTTGGCGTTTTCTGACTTGAAGGTGAAGCATTGTTCTGTAGAAATAATGGTGTTCAGCATTGTAGCCATCACACGCTCTCAGTAACATTTCTGGAATGTATTTTTCCAGCATGCTGTTCATTTCCAGTGTAATCATTCTGTATTATAGTTGTTTTGTCCTGTTTGTGAACATGCCATGTCACCAGTGTCATGAGATGTCTTTGTGTCCGCTCACAGATCCTGTGCTGGATGGCTCTACCAATGGAAAAACAGAGCCAGTAATTGTGCCGGAGAGAAAGCGACTAGAGAATAATCCCCCTATGCAGAGAGCAGCCATGGACAGTACAAAGAGAGAAGCCCGTTCTCTTCATTACACAGGAGATATGTCAGCAGAAGACATAGGCATTCCTCTCCGGGTAGGATTACACCTAATGCATTGGCTATGATTTGGCTGTGTTATGAGTAAATGCTAAAGTTCTAACGAGGACACTAACCCAGTTAAGCTGCAATTGTTATTCTGTAAAGTTTAATTGCTATGGATGACACAGATGGCGCTTTACTTTAAGTCACTTTAGCTGTATTAGAGGCAACATGATGTTTTCAGCAGAGTTAGTGGATAGTATATAGGTGCATGTTGTATGTATATTTCTATGGAGATTTATTTTAGTTGAAAGATTTATCATTTCTTTAGAATGTGGATTTGTGGTTATTTCTACACGTACTATGAAATTCATGAAAATTCATGAAATTAGTTTGTTAGATATTTTCTTTTTGAATGTATCTCTGTCATGGGTTAGGGTAGGTTATATGTTGTTGTTTCAGTGAAATGTACTTAAATAAAATAAATTCCATGCCACAGATTCAATAAATGAACTATGGCCAGTATGGCTATCCCCAGTAAACTCCGCTCAAATGCCTGAGCCAGCTCACACTGTGATTGCATCCCAGGTGCAAGCCAACAAGTGCGCCACTCCCTATAGCAACCAAATCCAGAAATAGCCACACTCCAAGGGTCTTCACCAAAGGTACAAAAATAATTTATGGAGCAAATACATACTGTTCCTCCCCACACGTGCTCAACACCCAATGCATTTCACCATTCCGATGTACTCATAAAGAGCACTCTGAGTAAGCCAGAGTGGCATTTGGAGGTTTAGCACGCGTGGGGAGGAACTAGCAGTATGTATTTGCTCCATAAATGAAGAAGACCCTTGGACCCATAAATCCATATTTATGGATATGGTCAGCATGGTGTTTAGGTTCCATTCCAAAGGGCCAGCTAGAAAAGTAATATAATGTACAGCTTTTTTTATTGGAGTACTTGTATTCAAAAGTCACTAATAAGTCACCTTGTTCTGTGTAATGAAACAGATGAAGACACACCCCGGCATAATCTTTTTATTTTTTATCACTTGCATTAACTAAACCCTCTCCCTGCAGGTGCCAAATTTAGGCGCTCAGCAGATATTCTTGAAACCTGGCGAGCTGTCTCTAATTCATACCTGTACTCATTTGGAGGGACTGTCCCTCTTTTGGAACCACATGTCCCTGTCCTCCAGCCTCTTTCTTTGCTCCTGAGTTGTCCCTCTTTTTCAACAGATGTGTAAACCACTATATTAAATGCCATACCTAACAACCAAAAGTGTTACACTACACTAAACCTCTGCAACCTTCATATCAAATTATTATTTGATTACTTTATCTGTGTAACTGGGGGTGTGGCAGGGGTTGTGTACTTTGCATGCTAAAGGATGTCCCTCCTTCCTATCGCAGTACGTTGGGAGGTATATCTAACCACTGGGTCAAATTATCAGTTTTGAGCCAAACAAAAGAATAGACACAAGATTTGCAATCTTCTTTTCTTTATATAGTGCATGAAAATGAAGGTAAGCTGTAATGTGCGTTTTTGCTGTCAGTTCCGTCCTCATTTATTTGAATTATTAATCCTGAGTGCCTAAAAAAGTGCTGAAAGATGCTAAGAACAGGGAAAAAGCTCAGCAGTGCTGAACAAACTTCTGCATCCTGCATGGTTGGTCCCGCAAACAGCCTGGTAATTACAAGACATGCTCACAAATTAGCATCACCTGTAAGCAGTGCGGCATCTCTGACTTTTTTGGGGGCAGCAACCAGCTCGTCTGGCTGTCAGAAGTGCTCCTTATCACTTGCTGCATTTTTTTTAGACTTGTTGACCCACTCAGACCTGACTTTTCACTTTCTTAAGCCGGCCATACTCATATAGATTTTCGATCAGAACTTTTCGTTGCTGCCAAGAACCCTTGTTCGATTCTAGACTTGACCATTCTCTGACCATCTCTTGTAGCATGCCTGTAGTCTCTGACCATATCAAATAGCCCATCAAGCACAGACAAATGTCAATTTCGATAATCGTTTGTTAGCAATACTACCTCACCGAATTTTGGGGATCGACGGAACGGATTTTCGTTTGCGCATGTGCAGAGTTCTTGCTGTAATTTTTTTTCCGCATGAAAACGCTATGAATTCATTGATCTTCGTTCGATTTGAAAAAAGTTTTCCAGCCTCTCCCTGCGAGAAAGTTAGAGTGGGATTACAATAGAAAAAAAACGTTGGTGTCCCATCAACTGTTTGATTATTGTTCGAAAGACCATTCGTGGAAGATTTCCGAATGAAAATCAGAGTGTATAGGCACCTTTTTATACAGAAAATTGCAGGACCAATGTGTCCATGTAGCTGTCATTGCCATATCAGTTTTGGGGGAGGGAGTGGTCTCTTTACGCCATTGGCTGACTTAAGGATGACAAATATCGCCCTGCTCTTCATTGTAGAGAAGATATCAGACGGTCTATGAGCAGCCTATGAAGAATAAGCACAGAGCATGAATTGTAAAAATCACAGGCGCCAAAAACAGTAACTGCTCCTGAAAATGGTCTCCAAAACACACATGGGGGCAGCTCCTCACAGTCATGGGAAACTGGAAATCTGATTAAAACAAAGCAAAAGGAGCGCCTCCATAGTGTAAAACTGATTTATTGCAGATAAAAAAGACAGCTGGAAAGGTACTCACAAACCAGCCTGTATAAAGGAGCATGAAGCGATACAATCTCAGGAAAACATCAAGATGAATGCACGAAAATAAGGTGAGGGAAAGAAAGTGCTGGTACTAAGCCGAAGCCATCTGCATGCTGACCCTCCCTTCAGTTGACGTGTTTCTGAGGACAAGCCTCTTTTGTCAGAACCTGAACACTCACAATCTCTACCTGACTCTTAAGCAAAAGTTATTGAAAAGTGACCAATCGCATCAATCTGAGATATCATGCAGTATGCAACGTTCTCCGCAGGTCCGCCCGCTCAAACCAGTTGCCACAAATGAATGTTTTGTGTATGTGTTTCTTTCTGTGATCACATAGTTTTACCAATGTGTCAAGAGGACATACCAGCAGTATAGCATTCCAGCTCAAAGGACTGGATGGATCATGGGGGCAAATACTTTTTTACATGCATATACACAACCCTTATTCCAGTTCAGACCCTGGCATCTGAATTAAAGAATCAGCGCACCTAAAATGTAAATCTTCTTTCTGTAACCAACTAACTTCTGCTAGCATTTCAGTGATCCTGACAAGAAGATCCTTCTCTGAATTTGCACATTAGTGTCCCTCCTTTTACAAATACAAAGCAGCTTTGTTTTCTTTCTTGTATTGATGATTAGCGATATTTTAAATAGATTTATATCTCAAGATGGAATCTTGGGGAGGGTTCTTCCTTTTGCCACTCGTGGGGCAATTGAATGTTCAGCATCTTAATCTGGAGATTAGGCTTTAAAATGACTTATGGTGAATAGATTGCACTATTTACTTCTGGCATAAGATAAAGCCATTTTTTATTCTGTGAAATCCTACAATTTATGGATTTGGAATACTTTCAGGTATTAAAATTTCTCTTTTAAGTTAATCCTGGGTATGGGGAATTTGTATTCTGCTATAGCTTGCTATATATCACTTGAGAGTGTCCTTCAATGATATAATTTCTGCTTAAGGCTGATAAAGTTTATTCTGTTTTTCAGAACACGGAGAGATCAAAGGACTGGTACAAGACCATGTTCAAGCAGATCCATAAGTTAAACAGAGGTAATGATTAGTGCTTAGACCTTTCTATCAAAACTAGATCAATTCTGCTCTGATTGACGTGCACTAGACTTTTAAATCTAGTGTTGGAGTAGTTGATATGGCTGACGGTGCTCACTACGATGTTTTAGAAGCCTATTATCTAAAATTGGAACTTTTTATCACTTTAAATGCATTCCTTTTTCTTAAACTTGATAGAGGTGCTTGTGTTTGAACCACAAGAACATCTGAGTAGTCTAGTTCATTCATTTACTTTGTGCATGTTACAATGTTGCCATTTTTTGGGTGCTGTCTGCAGGCAGAGGTACGTAGAAATTAAAATAACCCCCTTTGGGTAAAATGGCATAACTGTATTGCACAGAGGTTATCTTACCAAAATGATAGGAGAAATGCAGGCTTCTGTTTCTTTTTTGTGCTAGTAGGTGGTTACTTGTGTTTTAGTCACTAGATCAATGGCAGTCACCACTGGGGCACACAGAAAACAATGGCTTTTTATGTGCAACATTTACACCACAGTGCTGCATTTTTCTGCAGCACACCAGATAGCACCTGAGGTCACCACGCTGCTGTGTGGAGAGCTGTACTCTTTGTACACTACCAATAATGTTAGAAAAAAGACACCGCTGCCACCCAGCAGCAGACATCAGCCACGGAGCATTTTAGCGCATAGCTGGTGTGAACCCAGCCTTAAAGGAATGGTGTACCTTGGAAACTTTCACTAAAACCACCTTTCAACCCCCCTAAGCTAAACTGCACCTCCCCTTACAAGCTGCGTACTTATCTTAGTTCAGAGCCGCTGGCTACTGATGTTTTATAGCTTCTCCTCATGAAAATCTTTGTAGAGTTTAAGTTGAATGGGACTGTGTATCATGGCATATGGCTCTATTCAAGTTCTGATCAGATTTTCGGCAGAACAGGCTGAAAGAACTGGAAGAGCCAGCGAATCTGAAGTTAAGGTAAATACGCAGTTTGGGGATGAGGTTAGTGTGGTTTAGCTTGTGGGGTGTGGGTGTAGCTGCAGTTTATATACAATTACACCTGTGCTTAGGGAAAACGTAGGCTGCCATGGATGACCAGTGTGAGTTGTCTGACTATTATTCTGTTCCATTGTCTTTTAATACTGACCAGGAACAAGTATGCATGAAGTTGGCAGCCCATGTAATGTCTGCTGGTCTCTTTTACCTTTGATTTTAATAGCTATTTACTTCTGGTGTCAGGAATCCTTTACCTCTTAATGTTTACTAAATTGGTAGTTATTTTGGTCATTAGTGATTTAATGGTATTTTAATTCTGCCTGTTTGCAGTTAAATGCTTTACGGTTTGCAGGCACCAAGCTATTCCAAAGAGAATTCCTCCTTATCATAAATCACAGTTGTATTCTACAGCAGGAATGTTTGGCACAAATAATTAATTTGACGTCTTTATCTGTATACAATTAAATAACTCCCAGTATTAAATATGCATTCGGACGTCACGGTCTGCCACATCAGTGGAAATTATACTCTGCTATATCCTGCGTAGAAAGGACTGTATGCTACTTTAGTGCTCCCGATATTTTTACTAACATTTTGTTTGTAGAAAAGTTAGTCATAGATATAGGGCTGAAAAAGGCCGAAGTAATGTTTCCTGGCCTTTTGGTTTTTAAGTTTATGAATGTTTTGGTGTATTTTTGATGGGTACCCCTTCTTTTTTGCCGATATGGCAATACAGAGAGGTTAAGTTGTAGGAGACCTAAAGCATATCTAACTCCTAAAAAGTTTTTTCCTTTAATTTTCACCTGGTAATTCTGATAATAACAAACATCCTATCTCTGGGTAGCTTCGCTCACTCCCCCTCTGTATCTATAGAGGGAGCCGTGGTTGTCAACAAGTCTGGACTTTAAATATGTCTTTTGTTCCTCTCCATTAAATGGGAGATGGCTCCTTAACCAGTCCCTCCAGCCTGGCTCCTCCTCCGCTTCCTCAATGGACTGTCCCTCGGCTTCATGTCCTATGCAGTGTATAGGATGTGATGACTAGCAGGACCTTAGACCACTGGAGCAGAGGAGCCAGCTAGGATTTTAGTTCAGGTGACTATATCTCTGTTATTTTAGCTCTCTAAGCAAAATGAGCACTTAAGATTTTATTTGCCTGGAGTTTTTTTTTAAAGGTGATGAAATAAAGCAGTGCAACAGATCTGAGAACTTCTTGTGTAGACAGCAGATGTCACTACACGCAGATTCTTTTTGACATTTGCTGTGAGTATTGGTGGCGCACATTTTTACAAATTTTTGTCAAAATTCTTATCGATCGTTATGGCTAGGGATGCACCGATACTAGTATCGGTATTAGTGCTGATAGCGAGTATTTGGGTGAATACTCGCCCAAATGCTCCGATACCTTCCCAATACCAGAACTTCCAGTCAGAGAAAGGTTTCCTCTGACCGGCAGTGCCATAGGGGAACATGGAGCCAGATTCCCTGGCAATTTAGGAAGCCGGGCAAGCAAGTAATAACCCACCTCCCAGCTCCATGCAGATTGGCTGGAAATTTGCCTTCCCAGCCACTCAGCATCGGCTTCCCAGCCAATCAGCATGGAGCCTGCTGAACAGGCGGCTCCATGCTGATTGGCTGGAAAACTGTCTTCCCAGCCAATCAGCGTAGAGCCGGCTTTCCAATCAATCAGGAAGCCGGGATGCGAGTCATTACTCACCACCTAGCTTCCTGATTGCCTGCCAAGTTGGCTCCATGCTGATTGGCTGGAAAGCCATCTTCCCAGCCAATCAGCATGGAGCCGGCTATTAGGCCGGCTCCATGCTGATTGGCTGGGAAGCTGGTTTCCCGGCCAATCAGCATCGAACCGGCCACACATGGAGCCAGCTTCCCGGGCGACGTGTTTTTACCCGCTGCCCAGCTTCCTGATTGCCTGGGAAGCCGGCTCCATGCCAGCGGAAGAAGCGGTATCGGTACTCGGTATTGGCGAGCGCCGACTGCAAAATATCAGTACTCATACTCGATACCTATAAACCGGTATCGGTGCATCCCTAGTTATGGCCATGCTTAGATACCACAAACATTATTGGGAAGAAGACGGGATTAATGAAACAAAACTTTAGGAAAATATAAAAGCTCGGAATCCGGTCACAATGATCACATTCTTTTCTATAATTTGCTTCTCCCTCTGGCTTCTTAGACCACCAGAGCTACCTCTGCCTTATCCCAACTGCCATTGTAAATGGTGGACTGAACCATTAAACAAAACTAGAGTAGATCTTAAAGAGAATCTGATAGAATAGAAACACGGGAGATGCCACTACTGAAGTGTTTTTTACAGGTGCATGCTTTGGAGCTATCTGTTTCACGTGGACAGTGCCTGAAAATGCAAGGTCTATAAACTTTGTAGTCTCCACATCCCGAACTAAAAACAATGCTAACTAAAAGCCTTAAATAGGTAAAACTTCAGAAGAAAGATGCAAAAATTACCTTTCACCGCAACTTCTAAAATGCTTGTCTTGGTGAGGTGACATCACATCGAGCTAAGAAGGCAGATGGAGTAAACATTGGTACAATAACATTTTAAGTATAGTAGGCATCTGGCGTGCGGTCTCCAATTTTTTTCATATGCTTGGATGTTCAAGCAGTGATGGATGGGTTGATTTCACAAGATGACCTGCTTAATTATATCACAGTGAAGATTAAGCAGATTAATTATCATGTGAAAGGCATTATATTTCGGTCAATGTTTTCTTTATGACCAAGGATTGAGCCCAGCAGTTGTCTTAATTCAAGATTATCTGTGCAGTGTGCCATCTTTTTAATAGAAAATTAATCTAGTATGCTTTTGTCTCATACCGTTTATTATTTTGTTTTTATTTTCTGTTGAACCTTGATTGGTTCTCCAATGATTACTGTTCTTGTTAGATTCTACTGAAGAAAACCCTTATACTCCAACATACACATTTCCTGAACTACCTGAGGTCAAGCCTAAAACAGAAGGTATCATCAGACTGGCTTGAGAGTGGACATGTGTACTAATGTCATATCTAGAGATATAATGCAACGTTTACTCTGCTTGCTTAACCCAAGTTTAAAAGAAGTGCTTTAACATTTTAACAGTGTTATATTATATGGCCCTAACACATTTAAAGGGAATCTATAGACTTCTGAAGTATTTTATGACATATCTCTGAATGTGACTAGAATATTTTATTATGCCTTCTAAAGCCTTTTTCTTTGTATAGTTCGTAATTGTAAATGTATGTGCACATGACTGTGCTTCCTACTTAATAGTGCTGCAAGAAGATATTGTTTTACTGATCCTCCGTCTTGGTGCAAGTCCATCAGCCATCAGACTGACTGAAAACAGTAGACTCTGTGGTTTTTGATCTTATTTCATCTGTCCTCTAGCAGGGATGGCAATAACCTTCCCTGATGCACAGAAGGAGAATTTCCAATATGAATTATAATCAAAATATGGAATAGCAAGCATGAATACATGTAACCCATATCATGCTTTCTGGTAACTCACAGAAAATGTACTATAGTTTCCCTTTAAAAAAAAGAACTCTGCATTCAGAACAGTATTAAAGCAGAAGTAGGCTTTATAAACGATGAGACTTCATCTTCCAGCGTGCAGGAATAGCTAGCTGTGTGTTGGGTGTTGTTCAGTAATGAGCCAGGGATGACATACTTGCATAGCTGAAGTTTAGAAATAACCATAGACATGCTGAACGTCCTCTGCTTTTCTGTGCTGCTTTTCTCTGCTGCAGAATTCAATCCCTACACTCCCACCTACCAGTTTCCTGTATCTACTCCTAGCCCTAGCTCCGAAGGTAATTGGAAAGATCACAATCAGATATGATGTAAATACTTTGCTTCAAGGCTGTTTGGCTCTTTTGTATAACTTTTATCATTTTTTTTGTGTGCTCCTTATAACCTGAAGCAGATTTGGGCCCGGACATGCAGTGGTGTTTTCCGCTTTTGTTTGCTGTGAATTAACACTAAAAATACATTTCTTACAGTCGTATTATCCTGCTTGCAGGAAATGTTTTATCTGTACCAAATTAGAGGTCCAAATCAATTTGGCTCCATTTAATTAAAGTGACATTAAACCCTCAGATTTTTTAACATAAAACAATACTGTAATGTGTGCCTTACTGTAATCCATGGTTGTTTCCCTTCTCTTTGCTGCTCTTCCTTTTAAATCTGTATCTCTTCTCATGCTGGGCAGAACTTCTGTTTTGCAGCAGACTGCCTTGTCTCTTAAATGGATACATGGTGTCTGTGTGTAGGTTTGCAACCTGAGCCAGCACTACAGGAAGAGGCACTCAGCTGCAAAGGGAAGTTCTCCCCAAGCATGAGAAGACATGAGGATTTAAAAGGAAGAGCAGCAAAGAGAAGGGAAACTACCATGGATTACAGTAAGGCACACATTACAGTATTGGTTTATGTTTAAAAATCTGAGGGTTTAATGTCACTTTAATTTATTCACAGTTTTAAACTCTCATACGTTTTCAATAATGAATCCAGATCACAAAAATTTACATTGCTCAGCAAAGTATTTATTTTACATTTTTGTCCAAGCACTTAGTCATCATGTTTCTAAACAACTGGCTCCAACTGTCTCTGCTCAGCTTCCCTGATCTTCCTGTTGAAAACATGGTTACAAGGCACAGAGCAGTCTCCTGCAGCTGTTCATCTACTAGCTTGGAGAAGAGGAAAGGAAGGAGAGATCAGGATCGGGAAGTCACAGAAAACACACCCCGGCTTGCTCACTTCCCCATCATCTCCCTGCAGAGAGCAGTGACTGTCAGTCACCACTCCGCGCAGGGATTTCCCCTCCTCTCCGTTTCTCCGGCGCTGACTGGAGTAACGGATGGGGAGGGGGCGGGCACAGCTGGCTCTGTCTCTAGAGGGGCTGAGCCACCTGTCAATCAGCCAGCGGGCTGGATCTCGACAGCATTGTCGGGATCCATCCCGACTGCGGCGCTCTCAGCATATAGCAGGCAATAGCATTTTGGGTCACCAGAGGACGTTAGTATATGTCTGAGGAGAACTATGGGCAAAAAAACCTTTTGACTATAATATTACTTTAAAGTAATGGCATTACCTTGATATTCAGTAAAAGTTGGCAATGTGGCTTTAAACATAAGCGAACAATTGTGAATGGCAGGAGCTCATTGTGCTATTGAATTTAACAAATGTTGCCCTAATCAAATGATATGCTTGTGTCTAGTAATTGACACAGCTTACACTGGGCACACCTACTCATTTTTACAGTGAATATTTCCAACTTCAGCAATCATTTTATAGACAATAAATCAAAAGTGCACATTTTTTTAACATATAGAACTACAGGTTAGAGTTGTGGTGTTTAAACCATATCTAAAAAAAAAGGTTTAATATACTCAGTTACATTGGGTGGTGCTGATGCTGACAGTGGTTGGAAGGTTGTGTGTCTGTTGTTAAGCGGTTGTGTGTGGATATCTGTAAGGTTGTGTGTTTTTCGGGTGTGTGAACGTTGGTGGGGAGACACTGAGAAGGGTGGGGTGGAGTTATGACAAAGACAATAGGGATGGAGGTGCTGTTTGGTATAGCTGGTCAATGCAATAAAATTTAGTGGTGAATTTTGCACTGTAAAAAATAGCACTTAACCCACAGTAGTGCAAATACAGTACTTCATGCATTATGGTCAATATAATTGACCTTTTTGTGTGAAGGTTCTGGGTGCTGTAGGTAGCAGTATACTAAAATAGTAGTGTACGTCTCGTTGATGCCATATAGTACAATATTCTTTCAGACATTCTAACATACAAGAATTCCTCAAGGACTTTTGGCACTAGGTTTGTTTTCATGTTTTCGGAATGAAGAGGTTTCCTAAAGCTAATCTTTTTAATATATAAGGTTTGGCAGTATTTTGAGCAACAAGTAGAGAAGCTGCATGGATTGTGTTGAATAGATTTCTTGTTTGCTAATGGGTTACATCAGACATTGCAGCAATATATTTATACAGCCAGAATTGCTCCCAGAACAACAAATACTGTCTATACTGTTATGGACCAGATTGCAATGTACTGTATGTTCACAATTATCTTTTCTTCTATGTAGTCTGTGGTTTCCTCTGAAATTCTTGTTATATTTTTGATCTATGCAAGCCAAAGCACAATACACTTTACATTCCCGGTTTTGGCGCATGCCCTAATAGTTTAGACAGGTAAAATATAGACTAAAATGGAATCGCTCCTGAGGCCAGATGAGGCATTGGTTTTGTGGCTTCTGCCAAAGCTGAGGATCTTGGAGGGACTGGCATTAAATTGTTCCAGTGGAGATACTGTCTGGCACCGGGTTTGTCACATGATCTGATGCTTAGGCAATGAAGGATTTGCTTTGGTAAAGGCAATTGAACCTTTTGATTAACTTTTGGCATGGATGTTTTTAATTTTTATTAATATAACTGTGCTCCCATGTGATACTTCTTCTGTAATGCACACACCGGTTGTGTTCTATAGTATTTACAGTGTCTACATACGCATTTTCCCATCTTCCATTATGCAGTTTTTGGTACCTAAGTGGCCAATCGCCTGGCCTGAACACTATGATATGGGGGGGCGGGGTAGGGATGTGCTTAACCCTATGCAAATGGAAGCTTTCAGAGATCCACTATTTGCATAGGATTGTTGGAAGGATGGGGGTTCTCTCATGGATGATACAAGTAAAGGTACCGTCTAGATACAATTCGATACAATTCGTCAGATTGCTTAGTAGTGCTGCTTACATGTTTATTTTAAATGGTGCAGAGTAAAGTTGAAGGATGGGATATGACTTAGAAATGTGTAATTAGAAAGAAGTATTGTATTGTCACTGAGATTGAAAAGACCACAAGTTGTGCCTGTCAAGCTTCATAAAAAACGCATTGATGTGCAAAACTGGTGAATGTTATATTGTAAAGTGCTGCGCAAACTGTTGGCGCTATATAAATCCTGTATAATAATAATGTGGTGATCCAAAGTCAGTTGAGGTCTCCCTTCCTAAGGTGTCTACAAAACTTCCTTCCATAGCAGAATACATAGAGTAGGTTTGCTCACAGACCTTGTTATTTGATTGGTAATTGGAGAATTACTACTGTCATAAAGCCAAAGCATACCTGAGACACTATCATCCTTGTAATTCTAATTATATCTTTGCTGTGCTGTTTCTTGTCAATGATTGGAAAAAAAAACTCTTTCCCAGAAGCTTTTCATTTCTGCACTTTCTTATTTATAGATGATGATTTGGATTCCTATCCAAACTATGGGCGACACTCTTATATAGAAGATGGTAAGATCTACATTTATCTTCTTTCTTTGACCAAATTATGTTCTATGATCTACCTAGAATATACACACATTGTATCCCCAATGCCTACTTCCAGGACTGCTTGAAGAGGTTTTTATATCTGTAAAGGGGCCTCCTACCCCATGCACTGTTTTCTGGCACAGAAAAAAGAATTTGCAAATCTGATTTTGAGGCAATGCAAACAAAAAAACTGATTAGAAGTACAAACCTGAAGCTTAAACATTCAAAAACAAGTAGTCAATGGCTGATCACAGATTTTTATGGTAAAACTCTTGTGTTGTGGTAGCACACTGCATTATATAACCACTAGGTGGCAGGGCAAGTCAGCGCCAATGTATTATTATGTCAACAAACATGTTTTGCTTACAGTGCTGTTCTCTACTTTACACGCTCAATAGCAGTAATCAATAGCAACGATCAGGATTCAGTTTACTGCAGTCAGATGATTGATTAATTTTGATTGTTTGCAGTGGGTTACTGTATTTTACCCTATTGAGTTAACCTGCAGGTGTCAATTTTGGAGCATTATCCAGCTATAAGTAGAAAACCTCACCTGCATGCAAACCATTGCCAAAATGTATATCTGGACAATTAAACAGTGTATTAAGTTAATAAAAACAACAAATCCAAGAGTAGCTGTAAAGCTTATCTAATATATGTTTAGCAGTCCTGAAAAGAAAAAATGGAAACATTGTTATAGTTGGCTGGATATACCATTTTAAGCTCAAACACCTTTTTGGAACCTCTAATGAAGATCATGGAGTTCCTGCATAGTGTCAATAAGCTTGTATGAGATTCTGTTCCACGGGCCATAGACGGCTCACTGGAAGCTCTCCAGGCTCAGTGCATCTGTGTTGCATATGTGACACTATATAAAAATATGCAGCACCCCTTATGTTCTCCTTAAAATACACCTGTTGTGACAAGATTATGTGGACTGCTGTAGTTGATCTAATCTTTCTGAAAATACTATGTAGTTTGTACAACAAATTTAAGTTAAACAAAAGTCACAATACTTATTCTGGGTCTGTGGCTCATAATGTTATGGACAAAGTACCAGCGTGACAGCCAGGCAACTTCCTGGAGAAGATCAGCAGTGATCTAATTATTTCTCTAATGGCAGGTTTCCTTTAAGTAGGTAAAATACAGTGTTCAATATGTAGAATTATGGAAGATGGTTTAGTATTACCGTTTAGGTGTTTGCAGTACTTGCTTTGACTCTTGGTTCTGGCCTGTAATGTCCAGGAAAATCACAGCCCTCAGTGCCACGTTCCAGGAGTGAGATGGATCATATCGACGTGGAGAATAATGTCCGCAGGTCTGTCACCTTACCTCTCCCAACCCGCACCTCCTCCCTCAAGCCAAGCCATGAAAGGTGAGATGCTTTACAAATACCTATATGCTGGGAAAAAAAAGGCCACTATAATGGAGAAACTGGAGAATGCTTGGCAATTTCTACTACAGGTGAAAAATGAAAAACGGGGATCTAAGGGTCCTATTTATAGAGAAGCGTTTACCACTCTTTGTTGCCTGCCGCAGTTTAATCCACACAGTGCCTGTATACAAGTAATTCATAAATTGCAGGCCATGGATTGAAATGGTCTCTGCATTATGCTGCAGAAAGCATTCCTTGCTTGCAGGAGAGTCCATGACTTTGACAGATCATATGACCAGACTGTCTTTCTCCCAGCTTTCCTTTTTTTTCCAATTTACTGAAATAAAGCTTCTCTCTTCTGTTTGTTCATTTAGGATTTGAAATTAAAAGAGAGAAGATGATTGGTTGCAATGCACAACTACTTCAGATTCTGTCTGCTCCAGTTTTGATTAATCCCTCTCTGTGTTTTTATTTGTAACACATTGATATCACCATGATTAGGTGACTGGCAAACTGTTGCAGAACTCTAGTTCCCATCCCACAATGTATTTGCTTCTCCAAGTTCTCATCCCTAAACTGTGCATCAAGCATTTTTGTTTTCCTCATTAAAACTGTGACAGAGTTTTCTTTAATAACTGGCTGAGCGTCTTGCCAGCAGTAGACTTCATAAAATCTTGACATCCCACATAATAATTCTTAACTGGCATCTCATAGTAAACTTCTGTTACACAGTGTGTGCCGGAGGTGGCTTCAGCAAGATGAAGTTCCGTCTAGCCTCTTGGGAAAGTGAATGTATTGTCATGCTGCCAGCAGAGCCTAGGACAAATCGTTTCTTCTCATAATGATTCTTTAGGTACACATCTCCAAGTCAAGCTAGCAAATCTTCCCAATTTGCTGGAGCCTGCCAGACAGGCTTTTTTCTGGATTCATCAGTAGCCGTACTTAGATTGTGACATTCTTCTGTCACAGCGTTACATTTTGTTTTCATAATGTACATTTAAATCTTCTGTCTGGAAGTTAGTTAATAAGGAGAATGAAATATTAGCTGCTGGGCAAGCTTTGGAAAGGGTTGCATAGGGCCTCTCCCAGTCCTTGTATGTCCTGGCCCTTCACCAAGGAGAAGTTTCCTAGGAACACAACAAGAAACATCTGCTTATCTGCCTGCGTGTTCAGAGCGGGTTAAAAATTATGAACTGTGTTCTCTAGGAAACAGATGATTGGAGTCTATTTCTGTTCCAATATGTACAGTGAGACTGACGTAAAAAAAACTCATGTACATTATAGCAAATGAAAAGTGCCCCCGATCTCCAGTACATTTCCTGCTGGAGATGAGAATAGCTGGACACGGGATTAGCAGATCCGGAATATTTCCATCCACAACACATGTTTCCTCGGTAACCGGGAGCTTTCACACTTAATTGCTTTCCTTGTCCGCAGGAATGATTGGGATCCCCCAGACAAGAAGGTTGACACCAGAAAATACCGTGCGGAGCCAAGAAGCATTCATGAGTACCAGCCTGGGAAATCCTCAGCACTCGTCAATGAGAAGATGGTAATGTAACCCAAGAGCAGCCACTGAATCTGTTTGTTGTTGCTTGACCTGTGTGCGCAGGGGGTGGGTTATTGCAGTGCCGTTACTAATACTGAGTTGAGCAAAGACTAGCACAGTTGAACAGTGCAGAGCAATGGCAAGGATTATGAGACTGTAAGTATTGCATCTGTGTTAATGCATTCCATTTAGTTCAGTGCCTCTTGATGCATTTTATTGTTCCAACTGATCACTGTTACAGCTCAGGACTTAACGCTTTGACGCTTTGTGATCTGAATGGATAAGTATTGGGAAGTGAACATTTTCCCTTAACCGCTCTTCTATATAACATTTACATAAATGACAGCTTTGTGTGGTGTTTCTGAATCTGTTGAAATTGCAACTAAATTGTGTCTAAGAATCATCTGCCTTCAGCGTCATATGGGTTTGTCACTTTTATGATGTGGCGTTTGTGCATGTCAGCATTAATGGATCACATTGTTCATTTTACTTGTTTTTTTAATTTAATGTCAGAGAGAGTGAAGTAACATTGCGTATGTCTGAGTTTTTTTGGTATATGTTAACTATTTCTTTGCCACAGGTCCTTTGTTAATTACTCCTATCCATGAACATAAAAGAACAGTGTTTTCCAAACTATTTGTCATTTCTGGTGAAACAAAGAGCATGTTTCTTTTACAGTGTTGGTGATGAGCTTTCCAGTGTGGCAACATGGAAGTCTGGAAAACACATACTGCTGATGCCATTGCACCTGAGCTGAGAAATGTAGAATATATTTCACATGTTGTCAGCTCATGGGCATATTGTTTTAGCGGGCTAGGTGCTGGTATTGTGTGTAATATGGTGCACATGTTGTTTGACAACTATATATTTATTTAACACGTTCACTAATTTTCGTGGCACTGATTCTGTCTTTCATAGTTTAAAGTAAAATTGAAACCAAAACTTTTTTTAGTTTTGGATAGATTAAAGGAGGGTTTTTTTTGTTTTTGTTTTTGCCCTCTGTGGGGAGATTTTCCTTCACTTCCTGTCTGGTAGCCACAAGAGGAGGTGAGAGGAAATTCCTCCAAGGCGAAGGAAATCCCTAGTGGGTCAGTAGGGTCACCATGACTAATGTCCCCATTGGAACATTTCCCATCTATTCCTGTTCCGATGACCCATAATTTGTGATTTATTTATTTTTTCACTCTCAGTTAAACAGTCACCAGGAAAAATAGAGAGGGTGAATATTCCTAATGGGGACAGAGACAGCAATTAAAACCTGACGGGGGTTTTAATCTCTCTTCTCTCTATCCACAATTTAACGCAAGATTTGGCTTCAGTTGCACTTTAAGCTGTCATTCTACTGAAAACTGATGGTTCTGCTGTGGGTGGAAGCTATGTACTGAATCTGACCTTGTCTTATTTTGGGGAGCCTGCAGCAGCTAGAATTTCCCAGCTTTACCTCATAGTCCCCAGTCACGCCGCCGTTTGTAGCTCGTATTTGGCAGCATGGAAAACTTCATACAAGCCTGTAAGTATGCGCCTCTTTTTGGGGAGATCAGAGCGATGTGACACATTATCGTATTCCTAATCGCGCTGATCTGGCCAAAAAAGAAGCTCATGTATTCTTTTTCCATCCATCGGCTTTTTTTCTCAGCGCGCGCTATGCTGAGATATGAACATGGACTATAGAAATCAATAGGATTTCTTGTGCTGAGCTTTTCTGTGCTGACAAATACATGCTATAAACGCCCTGGTGTGAATGGGGATGTATTGCCATGGAGAGTCAGCTTCTATTTTGCACTATAATGTCAAATAAAAAATAACAACCATTTCAAATGGTCATAGGGTGCAAAAATCTGGCCATGAAGGTCTCAAATGTGCAAAAAGTTGGATATTGAATCTAACCACAACTTATACCAGAAACGTCAGTTCAGAGTGTATCAGCCCTTTCATCCATACAACATTATTCTACATTTGGTTTGTTCCTTAGGGAAGTTTTTTTTCACATGAAAGTTTGGTAGTGCTTTTCACAAGGTACAAGCTTCAGACATCATATGTGCCTACTGCAAAAAGGAACCGTGGGAGTTGTTTGGTTGACATTTTTAATTTTTATTTCCCTGGTCCTAATTGACAAGAAAGTTAGACATTACTTATAGTATCGCTGTCTCATTCAGTCTGTAAGCTGAAGCTCTGAAGTGATCTGTGCAGTTAATCACTAATAATGTTGGAAGGCTAATTTACACTATATGGTCAAAAGTTTATGGACACATGATCATCACATCTATATGAGCTTGTTGAACATCCCGTTTCAAAACCATGGCCATTGATATAGAGTTGGGCCCCCGCTTTGTGAGTATTACAGCCTAAGAGTGGGACCACAGCAAGAATCGGTGGCCTAATGTGGCACACATAACAAATTGTGCCCTTTCTGTATGCCACAATTATATCCATAATGAAAGTAAATCTTCATAAAGGATAGAATAATAGAGCAAATAAAAAAAGCCAAAGGTATTTTTTTTATGCAGGAGAAATGGTAGGTTTAAAAAATAAAGGATGTTATTTGTGTGTATTCAGTGACAGTTATGGCCAGTTTACAATATGGAACTGTCATTCATATTTGTTAAAAAGTTACTGCACATAACAGGGGAAGGTTTCAGTAGACCTGCCACAAATCTAAACAATTGAAATTAAATGTAAAAATAAATCCGTGCATTAGCAAATATTGCCTCTAGTGATAAGATCAATACAATCATTCGATCCAGAGATGACACTATATGCAAATCTCAATTTTGTTCTGAAAAAGTTGATCTTTGCACTTCTACCTCCTGCCCCTGAGCCTCTTTAATGGTTAGTGAGATGAATCATCACTTTAAGAAACCCATAGGTAGGCTCGGGGGGAATTGAATGAAACTCAAATTTTACAGTAAAGTTGATACAGTATTCTGCATGTAGCCATAGATGTCTGTATCTCTGTATTTGCTTACTGTTCTGGTTTAAGTGCATCCAAAGGCAAAACTTTTTCTTTCTCGCTTATTGAGGGACAGAGGATTCAGAGACATTTGCATTTTACTGCTGTTAGACACTGGCAAACAAAAAAAAACAGTGACCAGCCTGGTATAACACCTACCACTCCCAGCATGCTGCAGTTTTTTGCTAGTGTCCTAGGAGGATCAATGTCTCAAAAGCACTGGAGGCCATACCCAGACCCCGCTGGAATTGACAGTAGTGGAGTGTGTCTGGAATGTGACCTTCAGGCACTGGGCTCTGTAATAAGGCTTTTTCCAGATCTTTGCTTACTATGTTAGCTGTGGAGCATTTTCCAGGTTCACAGCCTCTGGTGTGGCCCTGCCTTTAAAGACATGGGTAGGCCATGTGGGATGTGCATCAGAAACTACTTCTTTTATTATGAATGTTACATTTATTATATTTTTAACCTTTTGCTTGGAAAACAAAGGAAAAAAGCTGAGGACATGAGTTCTGCATCACTCAGGGGTATCGTATGCGTACCTTGCTGCAGCAAGAGAGGTATTAAGGATTCTGTCCTGGGCAGAAATTCACGTTCCAGCCTCCTCTCCAGTTTACATTCCAAGCGTAGGCGCATATGGGCTGGCAACTGTATGACAGCTCAGGTAAGCCAGATGTGGACCTCCTGGCCTCCAGGTTCAACAACAAACTGAACAGGTTTGTCTCCAGGTGCCAAGATAATCTGGCAGAAGCAGTGAATGCTCTGGTGCCTCTGTGGGATCAGTACAACCTATACTACCCTTTTCCTCCCCTGAAACTCCCTCTTTACCTGCTCTGCCAGATCACGATGGAGAGCATTCTGGTGATCCTCCTAGCTGCGGATTGGTCTAGGTAGATGTGGTCTTCTGACCTGATCAATCTTCTGGAAAGTGCTCTGTGGTCACTTCCAGATTGTCAGGATCTTCTAACCCAGGGACCAGTTTACCATCCTGCTTCATGGTCATTTGCTTTAGTAGCATGGCTGTTGAAACCCAGATCTTGAGGAATATCTCTAAATTTCTGATTCCTACTATACTAAAAAATATAAATATAAAAATAAAAATATTTTGACCGTTTTCCAATTCTGGAGTCTGGACCAGCATTTGACCCTTGACTACAAGGGTCAAATCTCAGTGCTTGTGACCTTGTTCCAGAGACCGCTAGGCTCATATTCTTTGATTAAGATGTTTGTACAGGATGTGTCTCGTGGCTTCCCCTATGCAGTCACCTGTCACCCTGTGGGATTTCATTTTGCTTCTTTCAGCACTCCAAAAACCACTTCTTAAACCTATTAGTGATATAGTATAGCCCTCTCGTCACTTATTAACCAGATTGATTTCTTGTTGCCATCACCTTTTGTGAGGTGTGTATCTGAACTGGTGGCCTTGTCTTGTAAAGAACCTTTTATGGTCTTGCATAGAGACAAGGTGGTAAGGCCTGGAGCCGCTTTCATTCCTAAGGTATTTTCAGCCTTGCACCTGAGTTAGGACGTTGTACTTCCATCCCTCTGTCCAGCTCCAGCACATTCAAAGTAGATTTCCCTTCATTGTCTGGATGTAGTTCGTGCTATATGAGTCTACCTCACAGCCACCATTTCTATTAGGAAGACATACTCTTTGTCATTCCAGATGGTCCCTGCAAAGGGGAACCAGCTTCTCGATGCACTATTTCTTGTTTCTTGTTCAGCCTAAGGTTCAGGTTCCATCCTTCCGTGAGAAAGCACACTCTGCTAGCTGTAATTGCTTCTTGGGATATTCAGCATCAGGCAACTGTTTCTCAGATTTGCAAGTCTGCATCCTGGTCTTCTGTTCACATGTTCTTTAAGTTTTACCAGGTGGATGTTCAGGCCTGATCAGATGCCAGCTTATGGCACAAGGTCCTTTTAGGCAGCTTTTTTGCTTCATGCAGTCTCCGGTCTTATTTTCTGTTGTTTTTATAGTGGGCATATTAGCATTTTGTTTGCTGCTTTGCCCACTTCTCAGTTGGACTGATTCTGAATGTCCCAAATGTCTCTGAATCCTGAAAGAAAATAGGATTTTTGTACGCCCTCTAAAATTATTTCCCTGTAGTTCATTGAGGGACACAGGCCCCATCCTTTTTGTTTTTATGGTCTTGTTCTTCACTGCTTTGCTTCAAAACTGAGGCATGCTGGAAGTAGGATGGGTTATACCAGGCTGATTGCTGTTTGTTTTCCAGTGTGCAACTCTTTTCTATACACAGCAGTATAAGGCTGGCCATACACCTGTCAATTTTTTTTGTTCAACCCGCGGGCTGAACGAAAAAAATTGACGCGATTCCTCCATCAACACAAACAGCGTGTTGATGGAGGAATCGCTGCTGTTTGCATCGTATTCTGAAAGGTGCCGCCGGCACCTTTCAGAATACCCGATCAGAGCGGGTAGCTTATTGGCTGCCGCCTCTGATCACACGAAGATTTCCCAGCCGGCTCCTTTGATCAGCTGACTGAGGAATGTCAGCTGTAAGGGAGCCGACAGCCCCACACACTGTGCTGATTTTGGCCGGTACATTCAAAACCGGCCCGAAATTCGGCCAGTGCATGGGCACCATAACGAATCCTGTGTCCCTTATTGAACTCCAAGCAAAGGATTTTATAGTGAGTACAAAAATGCTAGTTTCTTGACATTTATCTCACAAGGTTTGTTCTTGCTTCCTGTTGTGTCTACAGGACAGGAAATGCAAAAAACAAAAAAATCTAAAATGAAGAAAAAAAGGTTTAGATATACTTTAAAGTAAACCATTACTTAGACAATTCAGGGCAGAATAAAGCCTTATTTTATTCTTGAACGGAGCATAACGTTTTGAGTTATTTGTTTAAACCCTAACTACATTTATGGGTGCTTGTGTGCAGTAATCTTTTAACATTGCCTTGGTTTGAGAATATATTCTGATAGACATGTGCACTGCCAAAAAATTCGTTTAGTTTAGTTTCGTTTTAAATTCGGATTTGTGTTATTTCGTTTTTCGGGATTCGGGTGTGAAAGTCAATTCGGATTCGGACGAAATTCGGTAGCGGTAGTTCGAATGTTCGTTTCGTGTCCGGTTCTTATTCGTTTCTTATTCGTTTCGTTCGTTCGTTTGCAGCAAAGTGACATTTGAGGGGGAAAAAATATTTTTATCCTTCTCTAATGTCACTTTGCTCCAACGAACGAAACGAATAAGAACCGAAACGAACATTCGAACTACCGCTACCGAATTTCCGAAAATTCGTCCGAATTTCGATTTGAAACTAAACGAATCGCACATGTCTATATTCTGATAACTGAGATATATTTGGCATGGGGACTTGCAAACTATGACTTTGTGTTGCTGACATTCACATGTGCTAACAGGGAACATGCTGATTGGAGAAAAGAGCACAGTGAGCAGAGTAAATGCCTCGTAAGTGTCCTGCTTCACCTTTATTGTCCAATCAGCAGGCTGGGAGTGCCTTCTGGTTAAGCTGTTGTACAGCTGCAGTATAAGTTCAGAACCTGGCATTGCTTTCTGACAGGGAAGCCTGCTTTCCAAATCTGGCTGTACAGAGATGGAAACCCTTTGGCATTGCCACATTTGTAGTTCAACCGTGTGTTCATCTACTCACCTGATGTTCAGTTTTAAAGCTTTGTCTGTACATTACTAGACATTTTCAAATACTGTCACTAACCCTTGTAAAAAGAATGTCCTGCGTGTTGGATTTTTTGAGCCTGTGATGTGTAATGCAAAAATAACAGCTTTATATTCATTGTAACTGCCAGTAAAAGTATAAAATGCATTTGAGCATGGGAATATGCTGTAAAATAAGTGTAAAAACATCTCTGACACACATAGTCTGCCTTACTCCTTTTGTGTTACTTCCAGCTTGCATGTACTGATTATTCTGTCACTACTTTATCCATTGTATTTTAATGTCTTACTAATTTGTCTCCTGTATCCTGTGTTCCTTGTGTCTCATCCAATGTCGGATTGTGCTGGGAGCTCTGTTTCTTGCATATCCATATTCTGTTAAAGATGCAGGACGAAGTGTGGCCTCACATTCACTGTTACACATAGTAAATCTCTCTCCTTGGTTTCCAGTCCTGGCAGTGGGAAGGCGTACTTGGAAAATCTGCATCTCTAACAGGCCCTTTTCTGTGTTCTTTTTCATGATCTTCTTCTCCTTCTTCCTTCCATTCCCCTGTCATGGCCTTTGTAGACTCGGGATAAAAGCTCAGAAGAGATAGATTTAAAGAATGAGCCTTGGTATAAATTCTTTTCCGAGTTGGAATTTGGGAAACCGGTAAGTAAGGCTAGATTTCAGCTTCTTTGTGCTTTGCCATAGCTGCAGATAAGATGACAATGACAACAGTACCATGGCCTGTTTTCATTAGAATCCTGAATAGGAAATTAAAAATAACTTATAACAAATATATATTGGAAAACCAGCTTTTACCATTGTAATGGCATAGGGAGCTACATTTTTACATGGTTTTTGATTTGTAAATCTCAGCTACTATTATTATTAATAATAATAATTATAATTATTATTATTTATAGATTTGTAAAAAAAAAAAAACCCTCAAAAATATATTTGTTTTCATTCCATTTACTAGCCCTTGTTTTCCCCATTGTTCATAACTTGTTTGTTTGTTTCTTTAAAGCAGTCACTTCTGTTTTATTTCTTTTTTCTATCGTGTTTTATTCAATCATGTATTCTAGCATTTTTGCAGTGTTTTATATATTACAGTGAACTATGTGCATCTGCTATCTGATGTATAGAACAGCAGCGACCTGCAAAGCAGTACACATTTTTTTTCTTTCATGTCAGATGGCAATATTTCTTTCAGTTTCATAAAATGATACGGGAAAGGGTGGTGGTGTACAGAAAGAGATGTTTAAAGCCCTGCTTTCTGGGTCTTTCCTTTTTGCAACAAGTACACTCAAAAGCAGGATTGTTTGGAAAAGTAACATCTTGAAAGATGCCTGTTTATTCATAGGTCACACTAAACATGCGTGGTTCACATTGCACAAAGAGAATCTGGGACTGGAGTTGTTTGTAGAAACCAGTCAAATGACAGCTCTCATTTTTCCAGTGTAGCTTGGGAAATGAAACATAACAGAACGTTGGTGTGTGTAACATGCTTATTTGGATGTTGCTCCATATCTGCGTAATCAACCATTTTTTGCTCTTTTTCAATCTAATGCTTGTTGATGGTTATATCCTGATTGTTTAGGACACATACAGAATTAATATGTGCGGTTCATCTTGAATCCGTTATAAATTTGTATATATTCTGAGTTCTTTGTATTAAAATTGCAGTGCCCCATATACCTTATAGCGGCCTGTACTAAAATTAAACCCTCCCATTTACCCTGTTTTAAGCTCATACATCATAGGAGACTTGTATTTCCTATTCTAGAGAAGCCAGTGTCTGGGAGGCTTCCACAGTTGGTGGTCACTAAATGCTCAGGTATGTTTTCACCAAGCTGAAGTTCAGGCAAAGTAACCAAATGGTGGCTCTGCAGAAACTCATTCAGTTGAGAAGCCCTTATAGCTCGTCATGTGACCGGCCACAGTATTAGCCCAGAACTATGGTTTCTGTGTGATAGGTAAATATCAAGGTTGGTTTTTTACCTGTTATAGCAACGGTCAGATGGAAGTTTAATGTTTAGTGAACTGCTTTAATACATATGATAAAACACCTGCTGCCCAAATGTATCATCCTGTGTTTCCATTTCATATTTTCTGATCTTTGATGGCTTTGCCCATCCCTTTTAAATTTGTATTCTTTCTTGAATAACATTTACATGTTTTGCATATAATTTCAGCTTTCTAGCCACTTCTACATGGCCTACAATATATAGGCCATGTTAGTGTAACTTGCATGAGCCCTGTAGGTTATGATGAATATCAAAATGATAGGTAAAGAATACAGAGAGCCTTGGAAAGACTTGTATGTAGTCTAAAATGTGAAGTTGTAAAGCTTGTATGCTTTTTTGTACTGTAATGCGCAAAGATGTAAATCTGCCTTTTAATCAAATTAAGCTAAATCTTATATTGTTATTAACCTTAAAATTGACAAAGGTCCTGAAATTTCTAGTACATATTGACAGCTGCAATGAAATCCTTGCCCTTATCAGCCAGTCATTGAAAAAGAGTTAAAAGTTTGCGCTACTTATAGCTGATTAGGTAATTACCAGCAGGCTGAATAACCCACCAGCCTAATATATCTCTTGGGAACCATTATGACAAGGAGCTCCTTTGTTGCCGACAAACATCTTGACTCCTAGAATGCTATAAAATTATAAGTATTATTATATAGAATTTATATAGCGTCAACAGTTTCTGCAGCGCTTTACAATATAGGGGAGACGTTACAATTGCAATGAAATTCAAGACACGATTTAACCCTTTAGCATCTACGCCTAGACAAAATAATAAATAAATAGTTCCCCTTAAGTGATATTTCAGTTTAGTTATATTGTGGGCCGTTGGCTGTTTTTTCATACTTCTTGCATTTCATTGGTGACATTTAGTTTAGTTCCATTCCACTCTGTGTGGAGTATTTCTACTCACCATGGGGTGTTCCTATTCCTGCTATTGTTTGTTGATAATACTAAATATGTAAAAAGTGTAACAGAGGGAGTGAAACCTCCTTGTAATGTTTGTTGCTAGTATGTAGGCCTGGGAAGTCAAGTGTAAATCTTTTCAGACTGTTCCAGATACATTTGTCCCTAATAATTCTGCCTGAAAACTGCACATGTTTTACGATTTATTTTAGTAGAGTGATCTGATGCAATAAAAACGTGTCACAGGAAATGCTAGGAAGGGAAACTCTGAACATCGATTGTTTGCATTGTTAGGTTTTTCACAAAGGTGACTGTGAGCCATTTCTTTTTTGCAGTAAAGCAATTCTCTTTACTTTGAATCTGGGAAACTCAATTGGCGTATAAAGGCTTTCTGTAAATGAACTACATAATAACTACCTCTAGTGCAGTGGGGACCTTCTTGCTAATATGTTTAGTGTATAAGCATGTGTCATATTCTAGATGATATAATAAAGTTCTTTGTCAGGGATCATTAACTATTTTGTAGTTAACAGAAATACTGTATGTATTCCTTGGCTGAACCTTTATCTCATTGTCCTGCGCTGCCATCATGGAATTTCAGCCATTTGTAAATGTGGTATGTACTTTTGGCCCTAAATAAAAGCACTATCTACCCTTTCCTGCAAAGACCAAGATTTTGCAAGCTTCTTTCCCATCTTAGTTGGCGTAATGGAGTTAAATTGCTGTTTTTCAGGTGACCCTAACAGGTCACAATATGCCTTCTACAATACAGGTGACCCGCCTGTGTTCATGTAGAAGCTTGCCTGATCATGTTAGGGCTTCCTCTAGGTCTTAACTCCAAAACTCTGAACCATTTCTGGGACTAATCTAAACTGTAATTCCTTACAATTCTTTGCATGCCTGCTTCTTACCTCTTACTATAGTATGGGACATGCTTTTGCTTGTTTCCCCTTTTTTCCTCTTTTTGCAGATGCAAATCTTCTACTTGTGTGTGATTTCCAAATTCATTCCTTGTGATATCTTTTCTGTTTCTCTCTCTTTTTTTCATTTCCTTATTTCCTCCTCTGCTTTTCATCAGCCTCCAAAAAAGATATGGGATTATACTCCGGGGGATTGCTCTATCCTCAAAGTAGAGGATAGGAAGGTAATGACACTCTCTTAATTCTCTCCAATAGAGACCGCTGCAGCATCTAACCTGTGTTTGTGCTTATAGTAAGCTTACATTTTGAGTGTGCTTATAGTGCAGCTTCTGAGCTACTTTGTGTAACTCACATTTAAAGCAAAAATGCACACCTCACCTATTCTTGTCATACTGTGGTCTCAGAGTCCGAAAGGTATATGTAAAGCTAGTCCATACTAGCTTGGGCTGTGTCTCTTAAACAAAGTTGTATATGCCAATTTAAATAAATAGTGGTACCATAGTTGGTGCTCATGAAGAAGAAATGCATTCAGATGCGGTTCTTGTTCTTTAAAATACAATAACTGCCAGCAAACATTGCAAAGTTTATTTTGCTGACCAGTACAGTGCCTAACCAGGTCACTGTAATGCAGTGCAGACTGTGGTGGTTATAATTGAGCCATAGTTGGTACAACCAACTGGAACAATCACTGACGATATACTTTTCTGTACTTTCTGTACTACTGCTATATGTGCTCGATTTTCTAATATATCAATAAATAGATGATGCTAAGGATAAATGCTAATTTAGTGTGATGTTTCTGTGTTACTGTAGTAGAATATGCTTTATATCTATAAACCTTGTCCACGTACAAAAACATACACCTGAGATTCATGAATGAAATAACAGCATATGTTGGCATAACGGTCCTAATGTTTGGATCCAGAATGTGGTATGGTTTGGCAAGCTAAACCTTGTTTTGTCTAAGTAAGCATGCCTGGGTCAAAGTTTAGCATATCTGAAGTGAGACTGAACTTAAATGCTTTAATGCATGTGTAAATTATATAAAGAGATATGAATAGGGATATAGAGGTCTGATGGCTTTAACCAACCTTGCCTGCCCAGTTCTGATAAAACCATACTAAATGTGCGTGGTGATACTTACTCAACGGCATTTAACAATTGTGACTTGGGGCATGTGTAGATTTCAGGCTGTTTGTCAGTGTTATTACTCAAGCACTAGCTACATAGCAATCATTTTGCTTTTATCTTCATCATCAATTTATTTTACCTAGAAGTTGATGGGGACATAGGGTTTTCTTTCCTCCTATATTTAGATATTCCTGAAGCCTATACTTAAAGAAATATGTGATCCTTCTTCTGAAAATGCCTATTGTCTGACTATCATGGTGACTGTGTGGTTTCAATATTTGTGAGCCAAAAGTATGGAAATCGGTTATGACTTGCTCCATTTTTCTTGAGGGTCATTCAGAAAGTATTAGGCAAAACAGCCTAACAATCCACATTTGCACAGGGTTTCCAGAAACAACATCCTCCTTATTTCTCTTCCTTTAAAGTGCATCTGTAGCCCATTTCTTTGTTTTTATTTTAGTTTTGGATAGAGTGGGGAGGGATTAGAAAGCCACCCAGGTTTTACTGCTATTGGAAGTTTTGATTTTACCGGTCTGGTAAAATCTTGTCTCCAAAACAGAAAATTAGGGGGCATCCCTGTAAAGAAGCCCTGGATAGCAGTATAACATTTCCCCATCCTATCCAAAAGTTTAAAAAAAAGTTTTGGGTGTAGATGCGCTTTAATTCCCCTTTACATCTTTTGTGTGTGAGTCATGTCAGAGTATTTAGTAAATGTAGTGTTCGTTTCAGTGCTTTAGTCATGATTGCTGAATCTTTAATGTTATTTGTTGTTGGATGTCTGCCATATTGTGAACTGTCTGTATTTATTGTAAGTGCTTTTTATAGACTTTTAGTAGAGTTAGGTAGCAACATCTTAAAATATATATCACTAATTAAAAGTGTGGTTACACAGTAAAAACCTGTATACCGTATATACTCGAGTATAAGCCGAGGTACCTAATTTTACCACAAAAAACTGGGAAAAAGTATTGACCCGAATATAAGCCGAGGGGGGCACTTTTCAGCAAAAAAAATGGGCTGAAAATCTCGGCTTATACTCGAGTATATACGGTAACATGTAAATATTAAGGCATACTCTTCCAGTAATATATTCATTATCACTTTGATGAAATTTGGCATATTAGGGAAATTAGAAAAAGGAGTTTCTCTGCTGCATTTATTTAATGCTCCCAAAATATGAGAAGTGCACCACTGGTGGTCGGTGTCACCTCTGTGGAGGGTACATTACTCTTCAAAGCTCTTTGTATCAGTAACAGACATGTAAGCCTCAATTAATTTTATAATTGCATTCACAATAGCTTTGGTGTTTCCCATTTAATAAAAATGACCATCAAAATAGGTGTCACAAGGGCAGTGGATAGTGATATCAGCAAAATTAAAGCCGATTTTACAAAAACTGATTTTTGTAATCTGCACAATATAAAATCACTATCTTCACCTCCCGCTGTGGAATCTAAGGATACCATGGCTAAGATAGCTATGGTTCACCATAAATGGGTAGCTGTCTACCTTAGAATGATGCCTGATACATGTAGCACTGAAAGTCACCATAGTTTTTGTGCAGTTCACCCAATGGACTGAATTAGTACACGTTGTTTCATTCTCCATTGACCGGTGATAGCCACATATCTGCTCTTGCAACTTGTATACAGAACTTGATAGGTATATGTGCTGAATCTTGAAATCATTTTTTTTTCTGAGAGCCCTGTTTAAAGATATAATTATGTCAATGTAAACTCTCAAAAAGCTGTGTCAAGTAAATTGTTTTCCGGTAAATTGTGTGCCATGTTTTTTCATGCCATGTGTATTTAGTTTTTTTTGCATCTGTGTTAAACCATGCAGTGGCTTTAGACATGATCTGCAGCTAGATGAGTTTACAGTTCTTATGCATGCAGACACCATCTTAGCAGAGATCTTGAAAGGAAAAATCAGTTGGCCTTGTTATATCATTTCATCTAATCACTACTGGTTCCCTCAAGATATGCCAGTGTTGTTGTCAGAACATCACCTCAATACGCTTTCTGCTAGAAGCCTACTCTGCATCCTTCCATGGCAACCATTAGGTAGTAAATCTTTGGATGGTCTGAATGTGCCTGCATGTTGAACCACCCTTTCATTTTTATGGTCAACCTAGCAGAGGACCTATTTCTGCACCTATTCTTACACTTAGATTTTTGATTGGGTGTTAGTGGATTTCTGAATATGTTTGTTCTTTGCTCTTTACTGCTGAATGAAGCCAATGTCACAGTTGATCTCATGACACTTATTTTTTCATTGCTCCTTGTTTATGCAACGTCTGTAAAAAAGCTTTTGATAGTCAAGGTACTCACGAATATGGACAACTGCAGTTTAACCATGAAATGCTGTACCTTTCCATGCTAAAATACAGGAAAATATGTCTGAAGTTAATAAATTAGACCTATAGATTAGAGCTATAGACTTGCAGATGTCTTACCAAGAGCCAAAGGTAGTGGAATATCTGTTCTTTGTAGGCTTTCTATGTTCTCTCTGACTTGTCCATTGGGTAAATGTGTTGTTTGCTTTGTTCCTAAAAATAAAAGGGAATAGTATTTGCCTGCTTGCACAGCGATCTTCAATGTGTGCAATAACAAGTACTCTCTGAGTCTACTGTAGAAAGCCCATATACTGGCCAATTCTTGCAAGCGATGCTGGACTTTGTAATATTGTTTGCAAAGAGTGAGCCATGTATGGTCACCCCATATCTGTATTGAATTAAAAATGAAATGTCAAATGTTTTATCGTATGTCTTGTTATTTTCGTTTGTTATGAAATGATTCTGCTACATTGAATTGTGTTGCAACGTACGTCCATATATCATCCTCTGAGTGTTCTGTGACTTGTTCTTATTTGTCTTGTTCTTCTTCAACTAGACTGAGCTAGAAAAAGACCTCAATCAGTACGAGTCTGAGTTAGAGGCAGATTTAGAGAGAATGGACAAGTTTTATAAAGCCACTAATAAAAGGGTATGAAAGTTTCTTTATTTTACCATTAGCTTACCTATGGAAATATATAAATGTCTGCAAGAGTGAGAGAATGAAGAGAAGCTCATTTCATAATATCACTAATCCGAGTTGCAACCTGGCCTGTGGAATGTGCACAGACAATGTCATGTTTTCCATCGCTGTGTGTGCAGTAATCTCCTGCTTCCAATGTGACGTAAATTCCTTGTAATCATAGGATTGTGCCGTAACAAGGCTGTGCATGTATGAAATGAGAGTACTGTAACACCTGCCTGGCATGCCGTCATAGGCCTTGGTCCCACTACACAAGAAGGTGCATGCTTTTGTAGAACCAGACAGCCACCTTTTCATAGCTTATAGCTTCTTTGAAGGACTTTTAGAGCAAAACAAAAATAGTTTTCTTAAACATAAACCTAAAAACCTCTTTTGTAATTATGTACAGTTAAAACTGATATTACTGACATTGTCTGTTTTCTACCTAGACAAAAAAACAGATGTTTTTTTTCCTATTTCTAATGTGTTGACCAGAAAGAAATTGTTGGTGGAGGACTGGGGAGTTGGAGACCCCTAGTGGTTCAGTCCAAAAAAAAATGACGGTTAGCTACAAGGGGCTAAAGATAAAAGCCGAGGGTACTGAAATAGGTCCCAGCTGTGGATAAACTCAAAACCAGAAAATAACCTGATCAGAGTCAGACAAGATCCTGATTCATATTAGCCAAATTGGTAAACATGGGGAAAGTGTACATAGCAACATGCTTAACTAATTAGTTCATTTTCAAATTTTTGCCAAGAAAGAAGTTAAGGGTGCACTCTAGAAAACTTTACTGAAAGCAGAGGATTAAATAAGTTCCCTATTAGAGAGTGGAAGAGCTTAACTGTTACTATCAGGTAAATTGTTGGACTGCAATTAATGCTTTTAAATGTCACCTTTAGGAACCAAGGGGAAGTTGCTTGTGAGCAGTTATTGAAACCAATCAAAATGAATTAGTAGTTTAGCCATTTTTCTGGTTTTCTACCAGCACACACCATGCATGCATATGGCCAAATGTGTGAAATTTGGTGTGCGAAGTCATCCCTATAATCATGCTGGCCATAATAAATCAATTGTCAATTCAAACACCATTCGTTTATCTAAAATAAATTATCTGGGCATGATTTCCCAATATAGGGGTGTTCAGTTCCAGGATGAAACCTAGGATTGCCACCAGTGCCCCAAGAACAGCAGGCAATTAAGATGCAAGCATTACTTGCAGTGATCGTGCAATGTAGGGGTTAATTGAAGATATTATTCCAAAAATCAGACGTTCTGGTGTCTGAACTTACTACTTACTGTGCTTCGTGGACCACCCAATAACATTTTTAAATGAACAACTTCTACTATATCTATTGCTCATTACAAAAATGTGAATGTAGCATAAAGGGATACCTTGCAAAAAATATGACACCACATACACTGGTTAAAGTTGTATGTCATACTAGACCACTTTACTGTGTTGTATTATGACCGCAAATCACAGAACAGGTTTCCTCTTCCTCATTTAAAATATGTCTATAAGCAGATTAATGCTAGTAAGCAGTTTTAGGTTTCTATTGTTGTTCAGTTTACAGTTTAAACTGGTTTTTACTAGATGATTACTCAGAAACCCAAATGCATTTGCAATTACACATATGTGCTATTTCTTAGATGAAAACTAGGTTTACCAGCATGTAAATTGCGGTCTCCATGTTGGGGAGGGGAGTTTACAGATGTCCCTTAATGATATGCTTTCTACATTGCAATGTTTCTAGCTTATTACATGTAATTTTAGGTTCAATTTGTAATCTTTTGAAATTCTGTCTGAAAGCATTATTGATATTAACATGAAAAACAACAAATTAGGAGAGCACTTAAATCCTAATTACTTTTCTCTCTCACAAAATGAATTTGTCAAGTACTCAACTGAGCAAATCTAGTTTTCTATTTGTGTTCCAAAGAATACATTTTGGTTCTACAAGGGGCACCGAGATTGTATAATGTGTTCCTGCTCAGATTTACTGTCTTGCTTTTTGCTAGGCTTTGCTTCCAAGACTTTGGCTGAACTGTACCTTTTTTATTTACCATTGCCTTTTGGACATGTAATGATGTATGCTGTGTAAAATGTTGAGACATGTCTATCATTAGGAATATATTGTATTTACTTCAGATTTTGATCAATGTTGCTGATGCTTGATGATCTATCTGTATGTTTCCTATGTTTCCTATATTAAGTTACATAGTCAGATGACCCCAATGCTATTGTCACAGACAGAGCTTGGTAGGTTGAATCATCAGCTTAGACTTTTTGGAAACCCAGTGAAAATATTTCTAGAGATCCTGGCTCAGAAAATGCACACAATCACACACACACCAATTCAGAGATGATTTGAGGATCTACAGCCGAGTGATATACAAATAAAATACATTTTTGTTAACAGTTAAGGTACTTAAATGTATTTTTAAGATTTACTTCCTGAGTTTAGTGTCCCTTTAAGTTAAATAGGAGCATTCAAACATATGTAAAAAAAAATGTCACTTAAGGTTTGTATTTTTGTATTCCGAGACCGTAGACTTGTTTTAAAAAAAGGAAGTGTCTTATTTTTCACATCTGTGTGGGGCATATCATTCTTGCTGGGGATGTCTTGATACCATTTTTTATAAACCACGTACAAGTACTTTGCCTTACGTACTCGCCGATACAAATTACAAATACTTTTTCATAAAGGGACATGTGACATTTCTAAAACAATACAAACTAATGATTTTAGGGCAGTTTCTTTATCATTATAAAAAACTGTAACTCAATCCATGATTATTTTAATAGAGGGCTACAGATCCCATCAATCCATGATTATACAGCAATAGAGAACGCCAACAAGCAATAAAGGACTACAGATCCCATCAATCCATGATTATACAGCAAATATACGGGGCTGTGTGCAGTCTTACCAGCACTGTGTTTGGGATCTCACCAGGGCTGCCTATAGAGCTCATCAGGTGCTGCATACATTTCTCACCAGCGCTGCATAGAGATTTGACCAGGCTTTGCTTGGGTCTCACCAGGGCTGTATGTTGGTCTCTCTGGGGCTCTGCGGGCAGGTGCCGGCTTGAAAGGGCAGGTGCCGGCTTGAAAGGGCAGGTTCCGGGCTTGTGTTGACTTTGGGGCTGTAGGAGGAGGAGGGCTGAAGGAGGAGGAGGTTGGGGCTCCTCCTCCTTCAGCCCTTGACAGCTACCTGAGGATCTCAGGCAGCCGAACTTGTTTAAAGATTTAAAGGGCCAATATCGGCCTTTAGTATCGGGGCATTTTCACGAGTATAAGTACACGTGAATATGCCCTGTATCGTGCCCGATAACGATACTAGTATTGGTATCGGGACATCCCTAATTCTTGCCATATAACCATAGTCTGACAGTTAAAGCAGCATACCTGAAGCAGTAACCCAAACATATTCGCATCATCAGCAGGCATTATAATAACTGCAAGGATTAAGTAAATATTCAGCAACAGTAGAATGTATAACATGAAAGCTTATGACAAATGTAAAACTTAAAAGGTTGAGTGACCTGGTTTGAATAGGGAAGCCTTGTGGGAGTGCAGATAGCCAGGATTGCAGAGATATTTCCTTATTACTTATACACTTACTGTATTACAGAGGAGATTTGATCTTCTACTTCTAATTGGGCACAGTCTGCTTTGACGAGTTTTACGCTTTATGTGGGATTGCACCTCTCCAGCAGGAACCGTGTGTGAAAACAATTACAGGCTTGCTATTCTTACTCCAGCTGCTTATCTGTCTGTGCCGTTGGCTGTGTACGCTGTGACTCATTTACACACATAAAAAGAGACCAGTCATTTTAAGCAACCTTGCACTGTGACTGTCCAAATTCTGGATCTCGCCAGACATGAGTGTATACAGTGCCGGCTAAAGTTTTCTCACATTCATGGAGGTACATAGTGCTGAGGGAACTGGAGGGATATTGTCTGATTTTATTCATCCATGTCAATCAGTTCTTTTCTTGGATTCTTGCAGAACGCAGCTGTGAGCCGCCCAGACGATCTTCCATCTTAGTAAGTTTCATTCCTTCTCCTTATTCGTGTTCTTATTTTATGTTTGTAGTCTGAATTTACATAAGAATATTTACTTCAAGAAACAGCAGATTTTGCAAATGTTATTACATATTGTTTATATAACATGCCAACAACACATTTTAGCCTATAATGTTATTAGCCTATAATAATTTATATGTTATTTCACTATTTTAGTACCATTTATTGAATTAAGTATGTATTTGATTATGATGCACGTAGTTTGCATTTTCATCATTTGTCTAGCACCTACTCTGTCTCCTGCCATGTTATTCTTATACTAACTCCACTTCACATCCTGCTATCCATATAAAACCTCTACCTTCAGTCCTGTTATCCATTTACCAGCTCTACATTCTGTCCTATCATCCATGTACAGCCTTCACTGTTTGCCCTGTTTTTCATGTACAAATTCCACTTTCTGTTCTGTGATGTATGTATCCCTCCCACCCCCTGTCCTGATATTCATAAACAACCTCCGCCCCCTGAACTAATATTTATGAATCACCTCCACCACTGCCCTTTTATCCATATATCACCTGGGTCACCTCCACCTTCTGTCCTTCTATATGTGTTGCTTGTTTCTTGTGATCCATGATCTTGCTTAGCCTCCTGCTGTTATCCATGCAACTCCTCCTCTAACCTCCTTTTTATCCATGAACCAATGAACCATCTCTCCCCCCCCCCCCCCCCCCCCCTCCCCCTCCCTATGCTTTCTTATCCATGTAACAACTCCCTGTGCCCTGTTATTCGTATACCACTTCCTGCCCTGTTATTCGTGTACCACTTCCACATTCTGTCCTCCTATGTGTGTGTGCCATCTCCACCATCTGTCCTTTGTACCCTGTTTCCCCGAAAATAAGACCTACCCCGAAAGTAAGACCTAGCACTATTTTTCAAGATTCCTGTAATATAAGACCTACCCCGAAAATAAGACCTAGTTTGGTGGTAGCATGTGAGGGGGAACTTGCAGGAGAGATGGTATCAGCCTGCAGGCACATACTGTATTAAGAGGATGACAGGGGACTCCCTCCGGCCAGCGCAGTGACCGTCAGCACTCCAGTACCATACATCACCAACTGCCCTGAAGGCACTGCTTAATGTAATGGTACCGTAATTTACAGCACTGTTCACTGTCTGATGTCCCCACTGCTGCACCGCTGGTACAACTGTCCTTGATGGCAAAGGAAGACGGCGCTGTCGAAAGCAAGGCTGCGGCGGCGGAGGGAGCAGAGCCGCATTAGCCGATACTTCCTCTATAGCTCCGGTTACTGTGACAGGCGGAGTGATACCAGATAACTTTGGATTGTTGTAACATTTTGTTGCACATAAAAAAAAAAAAAGACATCCCCTGAAAATAAGACCTAGTGTGTTGTTTGGGGGCAAAAACAATATAAGACAGTGTCTTATTTTCGGGGAAACACGGTATGTGTACAATCGTCAGCATCTGTTCTGTGATTCATGTACTGCCTCCTTTCCTGCCCTGTTATAAATATACTACCTCCACCTGTTGCCCTGTTGTAAACATGCCAGCCTACTTGCTTCCTTGTTATCCATGATCCACCTCCTGTCCTTTTATACATATACCATTCACATCTTCACATGTTCCATTTACACCTATTTTACATATACCATTTCCATCTCCTGCCCAGTTGTCCCAGTGCCATCCCCATTTCTAGCCCTGTTATCCATATACCACCTTCACATTCTACTGTTTTCAATGTACCACCTTCACATCCCATCTTATTTTACATGTAAAATATCTACATCCTACAGCAGTATTTTTCATATAACTCCTCCACTTCCTACCTTGTATACCTTTCTTAACCTCCACATCCTACTGTGTTATTCATATACCTTCTTCATATCCTACCCTGTTATTTATATACCTCTTCCACATCCTGCCCTGTTATCCATATACCTCCTCCACATCTTAGCCTGTTATCCATTTACCTCCTCCATATCCTGCCCTGTTATCCATATACATTCTCCATATCTTAGCCTATTATCCATACACCACCTCCACAGCCTATCCTGTTTTCCATGTACCACTTCCACATCCGACCCTGTTATTCATACGCCTTCTCCACACCCTACCCTGTTTTCCATGTAGCATCCTACCCTAGTGTCCATCTGTTTCCTCCACATCATACCCGGATTTTACATCCTGCCCTATTATACATATACCGCTGCCACATCCTACCTTAACATAGTAACATAGTAGGTACGGTTGAATAAAGACAAGGGTCCATCCAGTTCAATGTGTGTGTGTGTCTGCATTTATTTTGCTCTAACACTTCCCATAACCCTTTTATCCATATACCTCCTCTACATCCTACCCTGTTATCCATATACCTCCTCCACATCCTACCCTGTTATCCATATACCTCCTCCACACCCTACCCTATTAGGCGTATACTGTCTCCACCTGCTGCCTTATTGTGTGTTTCAGCTCTATCTCTTGCACTGTTCTACTTGCACTCTCTTTGTCCTGTGCCCACCTTAATTGTTCCCCCTCCATTACATTTCATATACCACAGTTTTGTGTCATATTGCACCATGACTATCTCCAGCTCCTTCCCTGCTATACCTGTAGGATCAGTTCCCACTGCCCTGTTGTACTTGTACCAAAACCTCTTGCCATTTTATGCAGCTAGTGCCCAAATAAAGATATTTTGATGTGTGTAGCTTCTGACAGCTACAAACAGATACTCTGCATCAATCAACTAGTGCTATTATTATTTCATTATAAAGTATTAGTTTACATAATTTAATTGTGTTGTCAAAAAACAGTTAATATCCTTGCTTGTATATAAATATGTAATAACTAAAGAAAATGTCAGGGTCCTGCGATTCTGGTACTTCCTCTCCTTGGTGACATTACAAAAATAATGGATGGCAAATTAGCGGGGTTAATTGCATTGATACCTTGTATAACACTTGGCTATAGTTCTGAGTACAGCATTTCTTTACTTAATGGGTCATCTGTAGATGAAATATATAAACATACCAGTTTAGATTTCCATGTGTTAATAGATCAGCTGTAAAGATCCTCTTTTACTGTTTATTAAATTTAGCCCTGAGGAAGAGCACATAGTCGTGTTGAAGCTTGACCCCTGCCCAGAAATTATGTGAGTGAATTCCCAGAAAAGAGATAAGTTGTATGCCATTTACATACGAGCATGCCCTGTTGTGTTTACCAAACCGGGCAGTGTCTCTTAGGTGCTGGGTGGGGTTCCTGTCAGCTAATAATATCCTAGGTGTTCATATGTGATGCATAAGCACAGTTCATGTAAATTAAACTTGTGTAGTGCGTTACTGATTCATACGTTGTCTCCACACTTTGGAATGTGTGTGGGTTTGGCAATAGAAGTCATTTGAAAACAAATGAACACGGTCTGTAAACTGTGACTAGGAGCTTTTGCGATTAGGCTCTAACAAAAAATACTAAAGAAAGTACTTCTGTAGGATAAAAGCCTATTAAATTGTCTAGATAAGTAAGCATGGTGCTAAATATGCATGACCTATTTTAGAAGTGGGATAGATTTAAAAGAATTGGTTCTCTGGCTTAAGTAGGCCAACAACTACCTTTTATTGAAAGAGTCCGGTCCACAGTAAAATCCTTGTTTTTATAAATTGTTAAATAGGGACCGCTTTCACCTTGGATTTACGGTGCCATGCACTATACTGTAAAAAGAATATTCTGCACATTAAAGTTTAGACAAACTATTTTTGGCTGTCATTACTTCTTAATGTAATGTATGTGTATTTTAAAGATATATGTATTTTACAGTCAACATGTGTGCCCATTAGAACATGAGTAATACATTTTACATCATATTGTACAATGATGAAATAAGAAAGTCATCTCCACTCAGGTCTGGTATTTTAGTGGTTGCAAGCAAGTTCTTACATGTCTTGGGGAGAGCTATTGTCAGCCAAAATCATTGTTGCATCCTACTGCCATGCCATAAAAATTACCATTTGTTCATTAGTGTGGAATTAATACAAAAATTGGAAATAGAGCCGGGAGAGAGAGTCAGCTTTGTTATAACTTTTCAGAAAGTGCTTAATGGGGAAGCAATGGGAGAGTATACTATACTTTTCCCAATACTTAGAGCCAGCTTGGAAAACTGCAGCTGTCAAATCCCGGCTCTATAGATCAAGAGCTGAGTCAGTGATCACATGATTGCTCAGGTCTCGATCTACAGAGCCGGCATTTGACAGCTGCAGTTTTCCACGCTGGCTCTAAGTATTGGGAAGAGTATATTTTACTCTCATGGTTTCCTCCATGCAGAGAGCAGTAACTGTCAGTCACCACTCCACGCAGGGATTCTCCCGTCCCATCTCTGTTCCTCCAGTGCTTACTGACTCTAGACGGGTGGGAATGGGCACAGCTGGCCCTAGAGATTCAGAGCCAGCTGTCAATCAGACATTTGGGCGGATCCCTACAATATTGTCGGGATCCTTCCCAACTGCAGCACAGCTCTGCGCTGTTAGCATATAGCAGGTAGTAACCCACTATATGCTGACTTTGGGTCAAAGGAGTAGATTTGTGAATTAAATGACTAGTGTATGGATGAAAATGTACAACCTTTGAAAAAAATGGGTACAGTGTAATGGGGCTTACCTTCAAATTGTGGTAGAAGTCAAAGCATGTGTATTGTTTGCAGCTAAAATTAAAGCGTTCTTTGGCCACAGGGAAAAAGAAATTGAGAATTAACAAAGGTACTTACAGGCACCACAAAATGACTGTACCAATAACTGTAAAATGACCAATGTTAGTTTTCACAATTTGAACACTATAGCTATACAGTCCCAGGTATGGAAACTGGTGTAGCCATTCCCTAAAATGAAGCATTTTTCTAACTTATGCTGGAACAATATTGGTTTGAGCTAACCAGGTTTCTATGGCCCGTAGTATTTCATAGATTTCTTATCTCTGCCTGAAACAGTTGTGAAATGTTTCTTGAACTTTACAGAACGGTGAACCAGATTTATTGTAGAGCTTTCAATTCTGCAAGAAGTGATGTACTTTATGTGCTGTCAGCTCATTTCCCCCTCGGAAGTACTGCTCCTTTATTTCTACTGCTTGCAAACATTTGCATTCTTTCAAGATTATGAAACTGATTAAACAAACACTAATGAACTGGAAAACAGGATTTGCCAAAAGTCTCCTTGCCATAAAAGAGGCTGAAAAGCAGACATATTTACTTTCTTCTTCTTGTATCCCAGCTCTTATACACCTAGTTACCATTACGGCCAAGAGATAGAGACTTCACCAGAGCCCCCACTGTCCGAGAATGAGAGGCAGATCTACAAGAATGTGTTAGAAGGAGGAGACATCCCATTTCAGGGACTGAGCAACTTCAACAGACGTCCATCCAGCTCTGCTTCCAATAAAGGTAATTCAGATGCAGACCTCATTGCAGCCATCACAGGTTTTCTGGTATAGTCCAACTCTGTTGTGTAAGTTATGAAGCTGTTTACATGCTATAATACTGTATAAATATACAGATCTACGAAAGTCATCTTCTTTTGTGTAGATTGCAGAATATTGGAATCTATCATTGATACTTATTTAAGTTTATTTCTAATTATAAATGCTTGTGTCTTTGCAACATACTGCTTAACAACAACTTAAAGAAATACCTTTTGTACTGGGTAGACTGGGACATTGTTCAGGCTACCTAGTTATAGCTTTGCTTAACTACTGTCTTGGGTTTGTAAAACCTCTGGCCACCTCTGCAACAGCTTTGATGAGGTAAGCTTACTCAAATTTAAGGGGCAACTATAGACAAATTTATTTTATTAATAAATTGTTAGGTAACACAATCCCAGTGTTCTTCACATTTACCAAATACAAAATCAACCTTATTTAACAAAGCTGTCAGATTGCCTTTAGGGTGGTAGTGACAGACTTGACTTGGTTTATACCATGTTGGTTGTAATAAGTTCACTCTGAGTCACTTAGTATGTTCAGTTTTCTCCATGCACTAGCACAAGTGCACATGGAGGCATTGCTATGTGATCATAGCGAGGTTGCCTTCCATAGTAATATTCTATATAGATTTTGTAGCCTTCCTCATGTGGTTATACTGAAGCTTAGAGATGTGCGATTCGTTTCCCTTCAGAATTGAAATTCAGACGAATTTTGGGATATTCGAACATACGGATGCATTCAAATTTCTGAATGAAAAAAGGAATCCGAACTTACTTTTGTTGTTTAAACATCAAAGTAAAAAGAAAAAAGTGTGGAGTTCCCTCCTCAATAGATACCTTTTAGGTCTGGTAGGAATGTTAGGAGGACCCCCAATGCAAAACAAAGTGGTGTTCCCCTTAAAAGTCATACCAGACCCATTAGGTCTGGTAGGAATTTTAGGGGGGACCCCAACACCAAAAAAAAAACTGAAAGTGTGGGGTTCCCCCTAAACCTCCTACCATACCCTTAATCCGAGCAGCAGCCTGGCAGAGTGGGGGGGTTGAGTGTGCGCCCCTCCGGCACCATACCAGGCCATATGCCCTCAACATGGGGAGTGTGCTTTGCCAGGGGGAAACCTGGAAAAGCACCTTGTCCCCATGTCAATGAGGACAAGAGCCTCTTCCCTACAACCCTTACCCGGTAGTTTTGGGGGTCTGCACCTAGATACACCCCCACTTGTGAATGAGTACGTTTTTCCCCTACTCATTCACAAAATAGTAAGGCTATTCGTGAACAGAGTGTTGTTATATGACAGGTCTGGTCCTAAATGTCACAAATGGGCAGAGCTAGTCGTGACATCACGGGGCTTGTTCCACCCATTTGTAGGAATTTTGCAGGCATTTTTTTGGGCGTTGGAGTCCCCCCTAAAATTCCTACCCGACCTAAAGGGTCTGATATGACTTTTGAGGGGAACCCCAAGCATTTTTTTGGCAATGAGGGCCCCCCCTAACTTTCCTACCAGACTTAACGGATCTGGTATCAATTGGGGAGGGAACCATCAGCTTTTTTTATATGGTTTCTGTAGACCGTTGAAAAAAAAAAGACTTTTTTTTTTAATGTCACTTTTGCAAGGAAAATTTGTAGTTTGTACATACTACCACTTCCAAAATTAACAAAAATTTCGGATTTGTCTGAATCCTAATCCCGAACACAGTACTTTTTTGCAGGGCGATACAGAAAAGCTGCATCACTAATGTTTTATGAAAGTTTTAACAAAAAAAAGGAAACAGTGCAATGTCGGTGCATCAGCACTGTTTCTCTAACTGCACACCAGCAGATGTGTTTTCAGTGCGACTTGCTGGTGTGAACAAGCCCTAAATTTAGTCTCAAGGCAAGACAGTAGGGTAAGTGCTTGTTGTAGAATGTATGAGTTTAAACCCCCTCTATAACCATAAGTGCATTTACCCTGTCGCAAAAAAGAATGTAAACCGGAGCAATCGTATATACACCTGCCTTCAGGTGGTATATTATACCACTGTTTTCTTTGCAGGAGTGACTAAGCAGCATATAACCACATGGTCAAGGTGAAACAGGGAAAAATATAGAACCAAAAAAACCAGAACCTCTCTGTGTAGGTCTCTGTTTGCACATGCAGAAACCTGTGAAACAGAACATACTAAGGGACGCAGGAAACAGTGGGCATTCCTATTCTCTTGCTTTAACCCAAATGAGGTCTGATCCATCACCCTAAACCTTTTGGAAGAAGCAAGGTTGCTTTTTTCATAATTGTTAAATAAAGGATACTGTAAAAAAAAAAAAAAACATTGGGACAGTGTTTCCTAATAATCTATACAAAATAAAACATTACAACGTGTCTTAATTCTGTATTCTGTACAAGCTATTGGTTCAGCATTGGAATATGTGAAAATGTTCTTTTGCTGATGGGTTTAAACTACCATTGCTGAAGTGGTTGGAAGTTTTCTCAGCAGGTTTCCAGACAGCTGTTAAGACCTGCTAGAAAGCCAAGACATGGCAAGTTATCATTGGCAGCATTTGTGTGCAAGGCTCTAAGTATTGTATTTACTATTTTTAGCTAAAAATGTGTTTAGCAGTAAACAAATATTTAGTGGTGGTCATGAAACTGTTTTTTTATATTACTATTCCTTGTACGAGACTAATCGACATTGAAATGTTTCACTAATCAACCTGTAGTACTATAGTGCAAACTGATATAATAATGGTCACTATGATCTTCAAAAAGAGGGGTTTAATTAAAACAGACAGACTTGACAGCTTAATTGTGCCACTGTCTCCAATAATTGCCGTGACATTAACACAATGCCTTTATTTTATTCTGCATGCTTGCATATGGACCCCACAGGTGGGAATGCTCATGAATTTTCAAATTCCTCATTTAACAAGCGAGCGTGCAGTGCTAATAATTTGTTAGGCAGTTCATATAAGCAGAAGTCCTCTTTGTCTGCTGCAAAAGCTTGCATAGCTGAAATTCTGCCATCCAAATTCAAACCTATAGTAACCACACAGGACCCCTACCTACAAAGACAGACCACTTTGCTGTCTCAGCAGAAGGCACAGAGCTGTGAGAACTTGCTTGAACCTTCATCCTTTTACATCAAGCAAACTTGCATGACAGAAGCCGGGGGAAGTGTAGAAAATATGCTGGCAAAAACTTGCAGGGATTATAAGGGGATGTCGGGCAGTACCATGAGTCTGCAGGAGTACGGTTTGAACTCTGCAAAATGTTCGTTTTCACATGGTTTTAAGTTGGGAGGCTCAGAATTCAACACTATGTACAGAGATATGCATCATATTAACCGATCTACCCTGCAAAGCGCTTCCTCATGTTCCAACGTAAGAGACCTAGCAAGCCATTTTGAAAAGGAAGGAAAGCTCAGGTCATGCCATAGATTTGGACTTGAGGGTTATGAACATGTACCCAAGCACAATGTCTCTACCCGCATAACAGCATTTGAGCAGTTAATTCAGAGATCCAGATCAATGCCTTCTCTAGACATATCCAGTGGAGAAACTGCCTCAGCAACACTGCCACAGTCTAGAGCAGAGATTCTCTCTGCCTGCTCTGCTGAGTCACTTCTAGAGACGCCAGTGAAAGGTGGTGAAGATGATGCCCAGCAGCAAGCACACACAGCTTCCACCCCAAGTAGTAATGTGGAGGACACGAGTTCTGACCTCAGTGACAATGCCTTAGTAGATACCCTTTCAGGTGGCACTGATGAGACGGACCATCTTTCCAATGCTTCAACTGACAGTTGCAACAATCCCATTAAGCCTCCCCAGAGATATAAAATGAATACCTGCAAGAGTTCCTGTCCAGCTTCCAACACAAGATTTACAACTATCCGGAGGCATGAACAGAAGATGGCCAAGAACAGCATGTCCAATTCACAGGCTGAACGTCTGATTCTTCATAGAAATATGTTTCTCATGAGTCCCCTCCCTTTCAAATTAAAAAAGCCATTACAGAATAGCCCAAAGAAGTCTTCAGATACCTCTGACAAGCACAACAATGTGGTCCTGTCAGCTGCAGAGAGCCATACTCCTAAAAGTCTTAAGTCTTCAGAGGGGGTTGAAGAGAGGCCCCGTCTCCCAACACGGCAGTCTTCATATGACATTGTGGAAAGACTAAGCTGTGTAAACCTTAACAGTCTTGAACATGACAATGCCAACCTAGAGCAATATTCTAACTCTAATGGCGATATTGTCTCATTTCCTTTATGTTACAATTTGGACTCAAACAACAACAGTGAGCCGGGTGAAGGTGGAGCAGTCACAGGAGGTGGAGTTTTTCTGCATCTTGACGATATGTGACACTTCATCTGTGTGACAGACCATCTCTACCTGTCATCCACCTTCATTTCTTCTTGAATCCACATCTGTGCTTGCTGTTTTTGTTCCTTCTGTGCTGACATTTACATGCGTTTCCCCAACCAAAGTTCAGTTATAAAAAAAAATTAACTTCCAGCCCAGATACTGGTCCTGGACATAATGTGCACTAGATTAGTGCACCTTTCATCTATATAGAGTGTGAACAACCATTTTGTTTGTGATAGGTGCCCTTTAATAGAATTGTTTAGGTGTCACATCTATTTTCTGGGTCTACTTATGATGCTGTCTCATTTAGGACCACAATAAAAGGTACAACATTTTGTATAATAAAAAATGTTTTTCTTTCCTTAGTAACCAATGCCTAATTTCAATTTTTGTTGTAGCTATGGTAACATGACTAAAAACAGTTTTTAATCCAACTAAAACCTTTTATTGTAATTTTAAATTATTCAAAAGGGACATAAAAAGATGAAGAAAAAGATGGGGTTTTGTTTGGCACCCGAGAGGCAAGTCCAAGGAACATCAAACAAAAATGTATACATAAAAATATAGAAATGTATTAGACAAATATTAAAAGGATTGAAGAATGCATAGAAAGTATAAAAGAACACACAGAACACAACCTAAGGTGCTGATACCACCTTAGGTTCCACAATCGGGGTTCACTAAGGTGATCACAGATCATAGCGTATGATCACAGATCATATGAACCCCGATTGTGGAATCTAAGGTGGTGTCAGAGGGTTCCCTGAGAGCTGTGTGTTCTTTTATACTTTCTATGCATTCTTCAATCCTTTTAATATTTGTCTAATAAATTTCTATATTTTTATATATACATTTTTGTTTGAAGTTCCTTGGACTTGCTTCTCGGGTGCCAAACAAAACCCCATCTTTTTCTTCCTCTTTTTATTACAATTTAATCAGGAGTTGGCTTCCCAGGGAGTTAGAATCTGTGCACCATAACTATATTTGTTTATTCAAAAGGGACAGATGATAAAAGGTTTGTCAGAATTTTGTCTCCCGATAAGGATAATTCCCAGCCATGGAAATCAGGATGAAGACTCAGAATGACTAACATCTCAAAATATAGCTAAACCAAATTCCAGCTAAAACCACATGTATGCATGTGCCAGTGTGTCCTGCATTGCCAGGTCATGTATACGATTACGTGTGCCCTGTTTGAGACTGCATCATGATGTTTGCATCAAAATGCTGTTCATTTATTCTTAACCCTTTCCATCCTGTTTTGATTGGCGTCAGCAGGATCACAAACTTGTGTTTTCAAACGTTTGGTTGCAGTGATGCTCTTTATAGTTATAGAAATGATTGACTGTCCTTTTGTGCTGCCTCTGTCTGTCCTTGTCTTCTCGTATCCCTAAAAGTCATCCACTGACTGGATTTTATTATTTGTAAATTAGATTCTGAATCTCCAAGACATTTTACACCTCTTGAATACATGGATCATCCAGAAGAGTTAGTACGCAGGCGTTATGACAGCAAAGAGGTATTTTCATATTTCTGTACTTTTTAAAACTCCCCTTTAGATTGTTCCGATTGAAAGACAAACAAATGCATGGTGTTGTTGTGTGGCATGAGAAATGATTTAATGAGGTTTGAAGTCTTGCAATCCTAGATGGTTCTGTTAAAACTACTGAGTTTGTAGGTGTTCTTCACAAGTAAAGATATCTCAGATAATTTGTGATGTGTATAAGGGGAATTATGTCTTTTTTGTTCAGTTTCGTAACCAAAATTGGGATTTTGTACACAGTCATGGCAAGCAAAAGGTAAGTGCAGGTGTTACTAGTAGAAACCAACCATGTGTTATCTCTTATCTATATTGAAAGCTAACAGAGGGAAACCATTTGGCAGTTAAAGGGCAACACCTACACTTCAGTTTGTTTGTTGTTGTTTATTTTTCCGAAGATGGACCATTTGAAGCTTTAGCAGATCTAGTGTTAATTTTACTGCAATTTGCTGCGAGCATTACAGTTTGTTAATGTTGAATATTAAAATATATCTGACGACAGTAATAGGTAATCTGCCAGTGCTGACCTATCCTTCTGAAAATGCTAGTGGCATCAAGGCTTTCTGAGTCATTGACCATTGACAAGTATAGCAATAAGGAATTCCAACTTTTCTCTAATTTTCACTTTGTAACTAGTTATGAGTCTGTTACACAGAATTAATGAAGCTAGACACAGACAGGCAATACGCTTTTTCAGAAAGAGGCTAAACAGTGAGAGTGAACATATTTCTCTTGGTGTAAAAATATGTGTAGGTGTACTATATGTGCCAACATGGCAAAAAAGACTACCGTATATACTCGAGTATAAGCCATCCCGAATATAAGCCGAGGTACCTAATTTTAGCCAAAAAAACTGGGATCCTAAATTAGGACCCGGAGACTGCCAGATGACCCCGCTCGGAGCGCCGCACACCGAGCAGCAGTGACGCGACGCTAGGCGAGGTAAGTAAGAAGACGCGCTGGCGCTGACTCGAGTATAAGCCGAGGGGGGCACTTTTCACCCAAAAAAATGGGCTGAAAATCTCGGCTTATACTCAAGTATATACGGTAACTTGCAAAATGCATACAAATGCTGTTTTGTGTTGGTTTGCCTCATTTTCCAGTGAAAAAGGGGAGTATTATTGTGCAATTTATGCTATCTTAATGATTCTTGTGGTATTTCCATATTGTTTATGTCAATCTAATATCCATTAACAAATGTAAAATTGGAAGTCTTTAGCCAGTGACTTGGCAGGTGTGTATGAAATACAGTATATCTCACAAAAGTGCAGCCAAACAGTATTGTAATATGTTAGACCTGGAGACTCTTTTATAATTTCCAATTGTATTTGAACCACCCATATACCATTTAAAATTATGAAATCTACATTTTATGCCCCCGAGAGACACCCAGAAAAGTTTTCTTATGTGGAAAAGAATATCCTGATTTCCCTGCCTTAAGCTGGGTATACACGGTTAGATTTTTTTGTTCAGCTTTTGGGCATAAAAATCTGCTTTTTTGGGCACAACAACGTGGATAGAGGAACCTCCTGCTGCCGCTGTTGAATTTTGCCTACTGGCAAAATCAGAAATTCTTTTTTGCTTTGGCCCCTTTCAAAATTGCATGCTCAAAATCCTGGCCTGTATATGTCACCTAAAATGAAACTGTGCTTTACCTATGCAAGGCAAAGCAACATGTTCACTTAACTGTTTCCTTCCCCAGCTGCATATATTTAACTCACTCTTCCACTACTCCTTTTGATCAAAGAGAGAAAGATCTATGTGGGGCATTCTCGCTGCCATTATGTGGCAGTGCTGAGCAGAGGTAGTGAGAGCTGTCAATCTCCAAGCATTTGCGCTTTCACTTGGGGAGGAATGTGAGTGCTCAATACTTCTGACAGGCTTCCCCTGGTCAGTATTGAGTATTTCTCTTTGCTCCCATTAACAAAAAAGAGCTGTGGGAGAGCAGAGGAAAGGTGAGTGTGTATCTATGGAGGATGGCAGATGAATAAAGCTGTTTCTCTCCCCTGCATAGGCAAAGCACAGAGAGCACTTGGGGCTTAATGGACTTAGTGAGCCTTACCTGGCCTAAAAAGTGCCCAGGGTCCCAATAGTGCTGAAATACTGGCCCTTACCTGTGTTAGTCTTCAAATCATTATTTCTGTTAAGTCAGAACTCTTCATCTTTCTATTTTGCTCTAGATCAGTGCCTCTGAATGTATTGAAGCCAAGAAATAAGCATAACATTCAGTCAACTGGCTATTAATAGTGAGATTCAGCTTGACTTGTTCTTGAAGTTGTTCAAAAATCAAGAAGAAGCTTGGGTAAGCTGTGACACGTCTTCATCATCAAGAACAAGTCCAGTTGACTTTGACTAATTTCTACTAGCTATACCATAACCTGGATGAGTGAGAATCTCTCACGTCACATCTCTGCCCTGATGAAGGGACCCTGCGTGGTCCCGAAAAGCTGGATTATGCGATATGTGTGACGTTTAGTCCAAATAAATCGACCTTTTTTTAAATTTAATTTACGGAGTGCTGGTGATTTCTATTCTTTATTGACTGTTGTACACAGCGCCATCCGTGATTGTCACTGCAAGCACCACCATTTTCACTTGGACCGGAAACGCTGTATGGAGTGCAAGGGGACCTACTGTTTTCTGAGAATCTTTACAGACATTCAGAGACAACTGGTATTTTCAGAAAGATCAACAATGGCAGACTATCTCCCACAATAAAAAGTTCCCTTTAATTTAGCAGAGGGCTATTAACTTTATACTGCTGCCTTATAATTAAAAGAAAAACACATTCAAATGGATATCAGAACTATGAGGTGAGTGCTTTTCACTCACCTCATAGTTCTAGCCGACCTGTGACAATGAGACTGTCACAGGTGACAATGAGGGAAACTGACAATGAGGGAAAAGCCCTTAACCCCATAGTTCTCCTTTAAAAAGTAATCAGGATGTCTGGTGAATGAATAAATGATTGTATTCAATCCCATAATATGACACCATAGCAATAATACATCTCCATGGGCATTAATGACTATTTGGGAAATAGCTTGGTATGCATTTTGTATGCAGCATTGAATACACTGTGCATTGTGATGACATGGCTCAGCAGTAGACATATCTAATGGGCATATCAAACCAAATGGGGGCCAGGTTTAATGGGAGAAAACTTGAACTATATAATCTAACACCATTCTTCTAAATTCAGAAAAATCATAACCCTTTATATGAAAAAATATATATATTTTTAGGCTGTCCTAACGTGAAATAATTTCACTATTTATTAATGTGTATTAATGTGTATCATCCTCTTTAGTATGCCCTAGCTGTAAACATATAAACCAGAAAACCAAAATCTCAGCTTCATGACGCAAGTGAATTTGTTACTGGTGTATATGGTGCTGTTAGTTAGGATGATGTAGTGGAGGAGGTGGCCATCGGCACAAAGGAAGTGATGAGTTTGCCTATTGAATATTAGCAGCTTTCCCAAGAAAGTAAAAGTGTTAATTTATTGCATTTATTGACTTCAGTTGCTTTACATTTTAAAGCCATATCTTGCTTCTCAGGTAGCCTTTTTTTATGAATGAAAAGTTTATTGATTCTGATTCCTTAAATAAGTGACATGACCAGGCAGGTGATTCACAAGCCCAATAATGCAATTTTTATCTCAGAAACTTTTAGAGGATCAGCGGAGACTTAAACGTGAGCAAGAAGAAGCTGATATTGCTGCTAGGAGGCACACTGGGATTGTCTCATCACACCACCAGTTTATCACTAATGAGCGGTTTGGAGACCTCCTCAATATAGACGATTCATCAAAGAGGAGATCTCGGTCTGAGGTCTGTTCTTGCTGACATTAGGCTGCTGCTTGGCCCAGATCCGTATTGTCCATGTTCATCCATTCACTGTAGCCAATCATTTATTGCCTAGAGTATGCCACCCATCCGCTTCTCCTTCATTTGCTTTTTATCTAATTTGGCTGGTAGAGGAAATCAGATCTCTAGAGCTTGCTATCTGCATGTTAGCTGGGGACTCAGGTGCTCATTGCATGCCAGTATGATCTATAGTTTGTTGCATAGATATTAGATGGTACATTTTTTGTTATGCTGGAAAATTATTTTTGCCTTATCAAGTAGGCAATGCATGTTTCATCTTATAATCAACTACTAACCAACCTTTGAAATACATGTAATTATTTTAAACCTGCTAAAAACGTCATCTGTGTATTAGACTAATCAAACCTTACCTACTATTCTGCTATATTTTATTACAAGCCGCTATATTTTAATTTGTTGTGTAATGTAAAAGATAACTGGGTTTAATGTGTTAATGCCCAGGATGCTTTTAAAGTGAAACATGTTTCTGTTGCCTATATCAACTTGAGAGGATTTAAAAACGATAGCTGGAAGCTGATTGGTTGCAAAGCACAAAAAATGCATTTTACCTTCAGACACTTTTAAGGTCCAGCTGTTGCAATGCCCTATTTATGTTGCTTTGTCTGTATTAGTATGTTGCTGTATTTGGGAAAATGAAAATAATGAGACTATCGGGAAATAACAAATTGTTCTGTTTCAAAAAATGTGCAGAGCATACATTTAATTCAATTAAAAATATTGACTCTGTACGATGTAATAACATGTGACACATCAGAATATGATCATTATTCTTTACATGTACAGTCTCCATGTTTTCTAAAAACATTCTCACCTTAATGCTTCATACTAATACCATGGCTATTAAAAGCTATTATAGCAGCCAAGTGGCAACCCTATTACTCTACAATCTAATAATGACCCAGTTATCTATAATTTACTCAACTCATTCAAATATAAATGAGTCTCAGGACAAAGAGGAAAGCATCATTTGTTGTGGCATGCTGTATTAACATAGTGCGGATTTGTTAATAGTGGGCACAGGTGATGTCTGCTATTATGAAGTGTTCATTTGGCTCTAATTACATCATCTGCTTTACTAAGATAAAAAGAAGAAAAAAAAACTAATACACCTTGGGTTTCTAAAGAATGATTAGTAATTCGGAATTTTCATAACCTCTATATTACAATTACTTATTTAAGGAAACCTATCGGGAAAGAATGATAGGAGTTGTGGTCACTGGCTTATTTTAAAGGTGCAAGCTGCGGGGCTGTCATCCTTATCCTTAACCTGGAACAAGTATGGAAGCCAGGTGTTCTGACACATCCCTGGCTGCATACCTGTGCTAAGGATGACAGATGTGAAACTTGTAAAAGTCAGCAGCTCCCATATTCTGTCCTATTCCAATCAGATTATATATATATATTCTTAATTATCAATTAATGATGCTTTCCCTGCAATTGAATAATATGTTCTAATTATGTTTTATTTTTTATCATTTAGTCCTCAGGAGTTGAATTAAGTTGAGTGTTTTGTTACAGTATGTTTCTATGGTTTGATTTGGTTTGGTATGTTTTATGGTTTAGTAACAGCCTGATAAGAAACTTTTTGAGAAAGATTTGGCGAGCATTGTTGATGACTCCTTATTCTAAAAATGCTCATTGTTTGGCTGTCATGCTGACCCTATGGCTGCAGTACTATGGGTCTCTGACCCAGAATAAATATGTAGATGAGAAATACTGACTCTTTCATGTCCAAGACTCACAAAGTAATGAAGTCAGCTAAGAAGCAGAACAGCCCAGCAACTATCATTTTCAGAATGGTGTCAGGAATAGAAAACCCTATTTTTTTGTCCATGAAAGGTTTACATTAAAACGTGTGTAAATCCAAAGTCTATTTTTAAGTATGTTTGGAAAGATTTCTCACCGTATAAAGTATTTAATTTATTTGTGAATCTGTTGCACAATTCCTTACTCGGAGATGCTGCCAGAAGAAGAATTTCCTGTTGTAGGCAACACTAAGCTATTGCTTCACAATTAGTAGTAGTCAGCTTGCCGTGTGAGCTCCCTCAGTTGGCTGTTGGGCTGCCTATCCGGTCTATCAGATAGGCAGTCTAACAACCAACTGGAGGAGTTTGCATGGCAGACTGACAACACTGCTGCCAACTGAGAGGCAGTGGATGAGTATTGTCAGCCTGCAACAGGAAGTGATGTTATTGGCAGGATCTCCAGGTAAGAAAACTATATACATAGAGGCATGGTACCAAGCATACTGAAAAATAGATTCAGGGTTTATATATGCCTTAATTGCAGCACTTTTAACCCTACACTTTATAGGAAAGTTTCCCTTCTAGCTTCCTTTTTTTTCCAAGTGCAGCTGTGGAATTCTTTCTGTATAACACTGGTATTCATTATATGTATCCCAGAAACTGAGATGCACTTTGCTGCTTTTCTTGTCATGAAGTTAAAAGAGCAGTATTAAAAAATAGTTATTAATAATTCATATTATCTGTGATTTTCTCATGTCCAGCGGCTGGCGCAGAGTCTGTGCTGTTCTAGACAAGTCTAGTTAGATGGAATGTCTTTAAGCAAGGCACTATGACTTTAGTATGTAAATTCGACAGATTAAAGTGTTGTTCTGCATAATATGTTCTATTAATTATCACTAGAAAGTATTAACAGCAAGTCTAACTAAAATATCTCATGTGCTACATGCTGCATAATACTTTAATAAGTCATCAATATTCTATGAGCTGTGTCCCAGATGAGGGCAATTAATTCAGATTTGTATTCCATTCTATACTAAGAACTTCATTTGGTTAGAAGAAACCAACTAATTCAACTCATTGTGGACTATACATGTAACATTTACATTTTCTTCATCTGTGTTCAGCAGTTCTTTGTAAAATAATGACAGCATTATCTGTTAAAATGACTCTTTCATGTCTATGTTTAGATGACACAAGCCAGAGCAAAGTTTGATTTCAAAGCACAGTCTCCAAAGTAAGTGACCTAATAATACTTTCTTGATTTTTTTTCTTTAACCCTTGCTGACACATGGTAAAGTGCACTAAACCCCTCAAAACATTTCATATTTTCTTGAAAGCAGAGACCCCGTAGAATAAAATGGTGGCAGTAGCACAAAACTTGTCAAATCTACCTTTTCAGTCAAAAATACACTCAAATTAATTTCTGTGCACAAACATAATATAATTCCAATTTTTTTAAGTAAAATATAAAATATGAGGCTGCGTCAAGTAAATAGATGCCAAATATTTCAAGTTGTAACATTGGAAGCCTCTGTGAAATGGTGAAAAGCTACATATACAAGATTGTCCATAAGTGCCAGCTTATCAGTTTAGCGTTAACAATTAATGATGGCCCTAGAATTATTGCTCACACCCTGGTGTGCATGGGCACAATTGTGCGCAATTGTGGCCCAAAGGCCGTATGCATACCATATGCTTGTTTTTTCATTTACAATATTAAAGCATATCCATAATGCTTGTTTTTTCATTTACTTTATTAATGTTGAAACTTTTTTGTAAACTTAGACTGTGCTCGATAAGTTACTTTCCTGTTTGACAGCTCTGAAACCAGAAATGCTCAGAACTGAGCGCTTCTGGGTTCATACTTCACGGGGGAGATCAGAAAACTGAGCAGTTGCATTTTGACAACCGCTCCTGCTATGTAATACATAGCAATTGTCCACTGTAATTTTGGCAGTCAGTAAATGCTGGTAATAGCTGCAGGTTGAGCAGCGACAGGGAAAAGGAAGCTGAACATAGAACATGCGTTTTAAAACATTTCTACAAAGTTTCTAGAATGTATTATGTTTAAGATCCTCAAGTGTTTAAAGTAGAGAGGAGACAAATGAGAACCCCTATCGGGTATTTATGGCAGCCAATGTCCCTGCTGGAAACACTCGCTCAATTCCTGTGTGGTTCATAAGGAAGTGAGTTGCAATTGTTTGGATTTTAAAGGTGCCAGGCACAAAACCACAAATTCATAAAATCAAATCAAATCTTGATTCAAAATACAGAAATGCAGACAGCACTTAAACCTGATATAGGATCTAACCCAACCTTCCTCTATCAAATCCCCTGTTCCTTCTGATCTAATATCTATGGGCACGTTCATTTGAATCACCCACTAGCTTGCTAGTGATATTATGTTGCAGAGAAATGGCAAAAGGAGGGAAACCTCCTCACTTGGCATAGTAATGGTAGATGCAAAATTAACAATATATCAAGGCCAGGCTTAAAGACCACCTTCAGCCTCAACCTTTTTTTTAAGTTTGGAAAAGAGATCGTAAAGGGTTGTACCTTTGCAAAGTATTTATTACTGTATATGTTCCCATTGGGGACATTTTTCCCTTTTTCTTATCTTACCTTACACTGAAATGGCAAGCTGGCTCAGACAACCTCATGGATATATACATATTCAATTTTCTCTACACTTTTCATATACATTTGATTTTGCTGTGTAACTATTGTAATTAGTGTCTTGTCTTTTTACACACTCATACAGGGAGTTGTCACTCCAGAAAGGAGATGTAGTTTACATTTACAAACAAGTAGATCAGAACTGGTTTGAAGGAGAACATCATGGAAGGATGGGAATCTTTCCTATTTCATATATTGAGGTATATATGGCTCATATAACAATATGGCAAAAAAGAAGTATTTTTCTTTATCGTGGGCTGAATATTTTGATTTTATTATAGATGTTGCCACAAACTGAGAAAGTACAGCCACGGAAGGCTTCACCAGTGCAAGTTTTGGAATACGGTGATGCTGCTGCCAAGTTCAGCTTTAATGGGGATACAGCTGTGGAAATGTCATTTAAGAAGGTAGTAAACATTAAAGTGGATCTTTGACTGCCATGATCATTGTGCATGTTGCCTTTGCTGTCAAACAGCCATAATAAAAATGTTCCATGGTAGATTCCCAGGATTTCATCGATGTCCTCACCATGGAAGTTCTAGACTTTTATTTGTAATAAGTAAGAATACCTTACTTTTGTGTTCTTAAGAATCTTAGATTTAGAAAACATTTTCTTTTCTTCAAGGGGGAAAGGATAACACTGATTCGCAGAGTGGATGAAAACTGGTATGAAGGGAAGATATCTGGTACCGGCCGCCAAGGTATATTTCCAATAACATATGTAGATGTACTCAAGAGGCCGCGTGTGAAGAACGCACCAGATTACATGGACCTTCCATTAACATATTCACCAAACAGAAGCACAAGTGCGTCCCCACAGGTATGTGCCTGCTGTGCATTATTCCATGTATCATCCTATTTACTAGAAAATGTGCATTTCAGTTGCAACTTTTCACAGTCCTGTGCTTAAAGCCCAGCTCCTTTTTAGCTTTGAATATAATATAGAAGAGTTACAGCTTCTGTCAACTTATTTACTGCAATCTGAGTCCCTGTTTAGGAGATTTCTTCTTACTTTCATGTAAATGACAGATGCCAAATAGGACAGGAAATCCATCCAGTGGGGACACAGGCAGACATAAAACAACTTTTTTTATAGTGTGAGGAATTATATCATTGCTGTCTGAAGCTCCATAAGATAGATTTCCCCTTACTTCCTGCCCAGGCGATGGGTTTCAGGTAGAAAAGAAAGTAAAGGAAAATCTCTCCAGCAGAGATCCTGGCAGAATTGAAGACCTGACAGAGGTTGTAACTCTTCCTCACTTCATCCAAAACTAAAAAATGACTTGGCTGGAGTTGGGTTTAAATTGTCAAAAAATTATTGAAACCAGCAGCAAAATCTGTGCCACATTTTATGTTCCATCCGCAGAGTGCGGGTGTTTCTCTCTCACACCACTGCTACTGTGACTGACCTTTGGGATAATTCATACTGGTGTGGGCACAATGATGGTATATATGGATCTGAGTTATGTTGTGAGAGCTTGGGATGCAATTATAGGGGGTCTTTTTGCGGGGGGCCCAGACTTTTCACAATAATAGAAACAAAAGGGTGAAGACTTTACTACAGTGAAGGTCTTAAAAAGATTGTATACAATACACAAGGAATATATCTTGATAGATAACGTACCATTTGGGCCTATATTATTATATTTATTTATTTTCACTACTGTGTGTATATTATTCAATGTATTATAAATGGTAGGTAGGCATAGTCATATATCCAATAAGATAAATATAATAGCAGGACATCTATATATTAAGTCATATTTTATAATTTCAGATATTCATTTGTATGAGTGATATTTCCATGACATCTCCTCATCTTTTTTGTTTTCTTTATCTGTTTTCTCTATGAAGTCTCATGGTTATGCCAGGCCTCGTACCACCACTCCACCCCATGTTGCTCGCAGAGCTTTCTCTCCAGAAGTGCAGACTATTACATCTGAATGGATTTCTCTTACAATGGGTGTCTCCCGTAATAGTGGCTACTCTGCAACCCCTCCTCTTCCTCCCCTACCCGAAGCCACCCTGTGCTCCATAGACTACATAACCCCATCTGCAGCTGCAAGCCCAACTTTCTCCTTAACCCCTTCTGTCAGCCTGCACTATGGCAATCAGTCTGGTAGATCTACCCCAAACTCTGCCCTGTCTTCTGTACCAACCTACTCCTCCCGGCCCCAGTCTTCCACTAGAATCAGTTATGTCATTTCTCCATATGGCGATGAGAAGTTCATGTGTTCCCCTTCCAGTTATGGATGCTCTCCTGTGCAGTCACAAAGACCACATGATTTCTTAATCTCAGAGCTTACTGATGTTTTGCGTAATCAGTGCAAAGCCAATAGTGATGGTGGCTCAATAGTCAATGGTGAGAATGACTGTTGTAAGCAACCTGTTTTTAAGACCGTAGACAACCAGTCAAGTGTAAACATTTGTGCAGAACCAGACTCTAAGATGCATATTGATCCCTATGAGGAGAAGCAGTTATGTAAAGAACTCCTTAGCTTTGTCAGTAATAACCAAGATGATGGGAAGAGAGCTCAGGGCAGTCCCATTAAGGTACATACTGCATGTGTGTGCTCTCTCAGCTCGTGTGCATCAAGACTAAAGTGTGATGAGCTGTGTTGTAAAACAGAAGTCATACATTCCCCTTCCTAACTTTAACTTTTTCTTGCCTATGTTATAGGTGACTAATTTTTTTTCTAGCTTGAAAACTGACATTTGTGCGTTTTATTAATACATTTTCTTTACTAATGCTACTGTATGTTCTAATGGATGGCCCATTCACATACATGACTGTGCACATGTTAAAAGGCATATAAGTACAATATACTTTATATTAACCTATCCAATTTCAACAATGTGAAGTTCATGAATAGCAAAATATATGAATGTTAACCTGGTGCACATGGATCTCTTGTTCAGGCTTTTACATTCAGAGCTCTTTCGTGTAAAACAAATGACATCTTCCCTGATGCTCCCATGTTTGATAAAGTTACTCATATACACTGAGTGGCCAGTTTATTATGACAACCTGACGTTTGTAGGCAAATTAGCTATAATTTCACGTTGAAGTTGCTAGAGGGCCAGACCATTATAAATAGGGAAGCAGGTTGTTTACCACGACAGTAGAAGGATTTTTTTCTGAAGATATGGGTAAACAACGCGATTTAACAGCCTTTGAACGTGGGATGATTGTTGGCGCTCGGAGCCATGGAGTGAGTACCAGCAAAACAGCAGAATTAATTAAACGTTCAAGAGGGGCTGATTGTTAAAGTGTTTAAAGACTGGACTGTCAGCCGAAAATCTGGGTCTGAACGTGCGAATTGTGGCCATCAGTGACTAGTCAATGTTAGGGCAGAACGCAGAGTGGCAAGACTGGTACAAGACAACAGAAGTGCAACAGTGCAGTGTCAGATTCCTCGCATCACCTTTCAACATCTCGTGGAGTCACGAGGCGGCCCAACAAAGTCATCTCGTGGAGTTCTCGTGGCCCAACGAAGTACTGATGGGGTGGTCATAATAATCTGGCCACTCAGTGTATAAAGAATACCTCACCATAAAACAAAAAGGAGCTGCAATCTAAAAAAAAAAAAACTAACCTGAGTGAATTGAAATAAAATCATAAGTTGTATTTGTCAGATGGACCACAGCCATCTTCCACATCTGCACTCTACTTTGGATCAATGGGTTGTCCAATGGTACCAAAGACCTTCTAGACTTACTTAATATACCATTCTAACAAAGTATAAGGTTATGGACTGGATTGATATCAGGGTTGTTGAACTTATTCATCCCCCTGTGGTAAAAGAGGAGTGGGGGGGGGGGTGACTTTTGTCAGATGGATTGTTTGCAAATGTGAGACCACATCTGCTGTCTGCGGCCACCTTCTCATCAGTGGGAATTTCCGAACCAGGCCTGCTAACAAAACTACCTTATTACCTGGTGAGAAAAGTTATATTCTGTTTAGAATTTAACACTTTAGGCTCCAGTCTCACGCTGGCATTTACTTGTTTTGATAACTTTTTAACATGTTGAACATTTCTACATGTGATGAGCTTTTTCAATTCTTGCCTATGATCATTGTTGTCCTAAAAGAAGATCCTTACATTACCCAGTTGTCATAGGCAATGCTTGGATCTGTTGCACTGCTTGTGATGATTGATCTTTGAGGTATTATTATGTGCTCCATGGGAGCAGTTTACAGTGACACATGTTGGAAGCCTGATTTTGACATCCTTGTGTACCAGTTCCCAAAAAATATCAAACTCTCTACTGGTGGCCATAGACATGAGATGATGATCCTGTTTATTTTTGTCAGAAAATGATTGCATGTCTGTGTGTGCTATCTGAGAGATCAGTGCAGATAACTCTTGGATACATTTCTTTGGGGAACAATAGATCAAGTGGCTTGGTTTAGCCTAGTGATCATTATTGTACTCTCAACATTAGGTTGCCACCAAGAGTGTCTGCACAGTGCTTAACCCTGTAAGCTTGGCTAATACAGGTGGCCAATGAACATTTTCCAGAATGCCATCTCATGCCAATGTGCACTTTAACTGGAGTGTTTCCCCTTACATTATGTAGTCTACCCACTTTAAAGCTCCGCACATGAAGGCAATAAGGTCATTGTGTGAATGAGGCACTTCTATGCAATACACCCATTCAGCACACAGTGCAGATATACATCTTGAACCCAATATTTTTAAAGTAATGTTTTCAGTTCATTAAAAACCTGAAATGATTCCTAGTGAACTGATAGGAAAAAAAGCAATATGATGCATGTTGTGAGTTGTGCTGTGTGTCAAGGAATGTGCTGTACGCTATGCTAGTTGTTTAATAACAGGGAAAAATATACTAATCTTCTCTCCTGCCAACTCTACCTGATAAGCTTTCTTTCCTTTGAAGATCACAGACACAATCCCACTATCTTCACCTGTCTATCCTTCTGCATTGTCCTCTTGTCCTGTCACAAATCAGCCACTTCCCAGAATTAGAGGCAGGGTCAGTGTGTCGCAGGTAACTCTCACTGGAAGTTTTGGCTGAAATCAGCTACCAGCTTGTGTCCTGCACCTTGTATAAATTCCTGCTATCAATCTGCATGCAATCCTTAACACTGACTGCCACGCATCATGAATGGGCATGTGTGACTTTGCAAGAATAGAAAGCATTGGTTTTGAGTTTCTAGGCAAAATGAAAATCATTAGCAAGTCTGTGTCTATGGCAAAACAATTATACCTGTGTTTTATTATTTTTTTCTGAAGAATACCATGCATTGTATCCTGTAGCAAGCTTTGACTTGCCTTGTATCCTCTGGAAAACACTGGAGAGGTACTGTAGATCCCAATCATGAACTGCAGAGACCCATAGCAAATAAACCAATATCCTTTTACTACAGTGAAAAAATTGAATGATACGTGCTGATTGGTTGCTGTAGGACAGTGCAACTTAATTCTAGGAGACACTGACTGCTTGGTGTAATCTTGGTACTGGAAACCTAAAGAGAGTTTAGAAGCTGGCATGCGATTCTAGATACCATTGTCAGCCCAAAACCAAAATCTAAATGTAGTTGGACTTTAAATAGCGTGGAAAGAGTTGTAGTTTGGCCTGTTGCGGTCAGTGCAAGTTGCCCATTAATTCTTGCCTTATTTAGGACCAAATCCACTCTAAGTAAGTGAATACTGACATTTAAATTCCTAAGAACTCTGTTTTCAGAAATCCCTACAACAATTAATATACTTCTATCAAGTGTCACAATCGTTACTAAGTGTCACACTGGCCTGATGATTATTGCAGCATAATCAAATAATTGAGTCAAGTTCTGAGATAGCAGAGGCTTTATTATAGCCTTGTAGGAGGGGACAGAGACACTGACTGCTTTGGTGTAATCTTGGTGCTGAAAATGTAAAGAGAGATTAGAAACTGGTAGGTGATGCTAGCTACCACTGTCAACTCAAAACCAATATATAAAGCTAGTTTCACACCTAGGTGTCTGCAGTTTTCACGCATTTTGCGTGCTTTTTTTGCACAGTTTTGTGTGTTTTTGCTTTTTAAAATGCGCGTTATAGCGTGTTTCTCCCTGTATAGAGATGTACAGGCGTCCAATGAGAAGCAAAAACAGCCATGAGCTATGTTCTTGTATGCTGAGCCAGGAGCCAGCAAAGAGTTTCTAGATTTCTGTTTATCATACACTGGTATTTTGAAGCATAGGTACAGTTAACTTTCATCTGCCACATAAGAGAAAGCATTGTGTGAGATAAGATTATTGAGACTAGGCGGACATTTTCATTCTAGGTAAGGCATTGGTCCATCTATGGTCCACCTTAGACTGTAGTAGTGGAGGCTAGTCTGCTTATGGCCAGAAGTCATCCACCTTATTACTATGGATAGTATAAAATGTCTTTATCCATTGTATCTGGTATCTCATTGCTTGAGGGACCTCAATTTATGTGACTGTAGAATTGAAAAGGTGAAATAAAATACCAGCTTCCATTCATATCTGGACATCCCTACTGATTAGTAAACTTATGCTAGTGATGGACTGCACACCTCTAACAGCACATTAAATTGATAGTTGCAAAAGATGCTACATAAGAAATTGTAAATGACTTACCTAAATAACAAAAAAACATGTATTATATATACAGCAAATATTTTGTTAGGATGGTATAACAAATTTATTTTAACAATCCAGTAAAAGTTGTGAAGATCTAGTAAGCCCCAACTATATTGTACCTTTAATTTATCTGCTGCACGTCAGTCATTTTGGTTACTTTGGTTCGTACCTCAACTCTTTGTGCTGCCGTAATGAAAAAGGAAGTGCGCCTTTTTGACACCAGTCAGCAAAAGGCATGCACAGATAGCAAGTATACAGATGAACTTGTGTTCCTGATGCATTCTCACTAGATACCAGCCATGCTGTTATTGACAATACCACCTTTTGCATAAGTGTTGTTATTATATCTTTTAATTAAATTGTTCTTTAGTTTTACTGTGACACTTTGCTAGCACAAGCTCAAGGATGAAGCGAAAAGGCCCAGTCAACATAACATGTTCATTCTAAGATTAGGTCTTAGGTTACATAATCCTTAGATAAGTGGCCCCACATTCCATGTTCACTTAATTTGCCTTCTTTTTGTGTATATTTTATCACATTGTACAGAGTGAAATGGTAAAAGGTCATGCCTTAATAGACCATTACTGAATATGGTCAATATCCTGTTTCTCATGCATCTGTGCATGTATTCGTAACTGTTGTAGAGGCAGCTAAAAATCAGCTGGCCGTGCCCATCTACTATATTTCCACTTTCTGCTGGCCATAATTTTATGAGTATATGACCCCATTGGTTTGGGCGAATTACAGAATGTGATGTGTTTTCACATGTAGATGGACTTAAGAATAAAGGTATATCATATATAATATTTAGGACTTGCGGGATGTAGAAGATCTGCAGTTATATATAACAGAGCTAACCTTTTAGATGGCAGCAGATAGCAATTACATTTGTTCTTGGTTAATCAAGAACCATGGCTGTTGTAGCTTCATAATAATACTGCACAGAGCAGTAATGTGCTGTAACCCACTATGATCAATCAAATACCAGCATTTAACAGTTTATTGAAGTCAGGCCAAGAAAAGGTGGGTTCTGACTGGCTGATAGCTAAGGCTTACTGGAGTTTGTTTCTAGTCGTATTAATATATTGCTATTCTCTACATAAAACTAGTGACTGGTGCCCACTAATAAATAAAGATTCTCAGTGGGTGTTTGTTGTTTTCTCGCATGGAAGATATACAATTAGTTTTTTGTGCAAAACGAAGGCGTACTCACCATGTGTTTGTACAAAAACCCAGCATGGCTTTTGGCAGTTGCTCTGTGATATTGTCATCTGTTTGTTGTGCATTCATTCCTCATCCCATTCTCATTTTGTTATTGTTTTTTTTTTACGTCATCTCATTAGCCTTGCAGATCTGATGATGAACAAACACTGACATCTAAAAGTCCAGTAATGCTTACAGACTCCCCGGTTAATACCCTGAAATCAAATTCTGTTGTGGTAAGCCCATACATATTACTTTTGTTTCACTATCTCTAAACAGATCTCCCAAAAAATCCTTCTGCTTTCCCTTTGCTATAAAGTCTAAGATTATTTCCTCCAGTAAAGAGATGCAAAGCTTGCGTAAAAACAGACCATGAATTTTGCTATTTTTTAGATATGAAGCTTGAATCTCAAAAAGTATATAAAAATTCTACATATTTTGAATATTATAAATATAATATCTAAATTTGTGTGTAGGTAATAAAAAGCATAATTATAATGAAACTGAAAAAGGAACAATAGCTCTGCCAGGTAAAACAAAGGTTTATGTATTGAAAATGTTAATAAGAATACTTTTATTAAATGATGGCTGATTAAGACTCAGCAGCCCACAAACGTGGTAGAACCATATTTATACAATTGAAAGATTCAGTAGTATATTATAGTATATATTATGCTAAGGGTCCTGTGATACACAATACTCTTTACAAGAAGCTGTGAGTTAGGACCATGTCTGCTCTATATGTACCTTTCAGGGAAATCAAAACAGTTTCAGATATGGCCCACAGGACCCACCAGATCTTGGACTATCCAATAATGTTTGCATTCATTTTATTTTTATACATATTTTCATTTCATTGTCTTATTACATAGTGTGTGACCTTTGCATTTTTTTATCTATACATGCACATTTCTTTGTTCTTCACATGTTTACACAAATATTATGCAAATCTAAAGAGTTTAGATCTGAATAGACATTAGGTTACTGCACCAGTTGTAATGCTCAGGACTGTTCTTGTACTCTTTATTAGTTTAGTTAAGCCATTCTTTAGAATAAGGTTTAACAGGTGTATTTTGAAGCAGGCCTGTGCTAAAGTATACTAGCAGTTGTATAGTAATGCAGGTTTTCTACCTTTCATTGCCTAAGTCCATTGCAGTGAATGATGAAATATTTGCAACTTGTATAAAATTATAAAAGGGTAAGGCTCAATTATCATAAAAGATCATTAAAGAGACATCCACATGCAAGCATTTCTACAAATATCTTGCAAAAAATCCAAACGAGTATGAAAATAGTTTAACATGAATAGGCAGAAAGATTATGGATATAATCACCCTTGCTTAAGTGCTACTGGGAAAATATTCACAGAATTGCCACCACCTATACTGTATATCTCCATCCAGCTCAGTAACTTCAATGGTGAACACCAGTATCCCTGCCTGGTTATTTATTGATATATAAAGAGCAAAAGATATCTGAGGTGTCTTCAGTATAGCATAAATCACAGAGGAAGCAGTGTATAGCAATGTGCAGAGTAGGCTGCATATATAATGTAAAGCTAATCTGAGCCGTGAGCTGAAAACAGACCACAAGAATATTATTAAAGTAACATTGGCTTACAAAATTTTAAGATAGTTTAACATTTTTCCTATTTACTAGTTTTTTCTTAATTTCAGTTGTTTTCCATTTTAAACATAGCTTGCATCTATTTCTATATAGAGGTCCTCCTAGAAGATGCTATTATATTAGTATGGAGATCCTCTTCTCTTCCAGGTGTCGGAATACAATATATTATAAACATGTATATAATATATTACACAAAACTGGTATACAAATGTTTTGTAGGATACTGTCAGGTATTATTGTACATTCACTACAAAAATGGGGCATTTCCCTAGATTTCATACTGGAACCTAAAATGTAGTGTTTGTAATATAGAGAGAACACTAACTATGTATGCCTTTTTATTCAGGCTTTCAGTATATCAATTGGAAAATACAAGGTAAACATACTGTAGTGTAGATTGTGGTAGAACATGGGTAATTGAGCCTGAATCCTATATCACTTGTACACTGTGCAGTGTTCGATGTGCCTAGAGAACCTTCCCCTGTAGCAAAGCATGCCTGGGAATGATATTCAGATGTTGTCAATTGTGATATTAACACAGATGGTTGGATGAAATTAGAGAATGTAAATATCTGAAAGCAATTTCAGGTCACATTGCTGACACCATATGCAGATAGATATGCAGGCAGATTAATTTTATATAAATATACAATAGAAAATACTACCTCATTGTGATTAACAGAAATCACCAGGTTCTATGAACAATCTAACTGAGGGAAGGGAGTTAAAACAAGGAAGGAGCCAAGACAAAAAGCGATACTGTGCCATCATTGAATGTGGGAAAACAGGAGTCCATATCTGCTGTAGAAATCATGTTCTCTCAACAGCTGTTGGACTGAAATTCACTTATGGATAATGTTTGAGATTCAAAGTATTGTCTGCCTTTTATGTGTGTCCCTGTAATCCAATAACCATTGCTAAATGTGTCCCTTATAATGTGCTTGATGATCACAGCAGCCCCAGCATATACTGAGCACAGGACCAGAGCTCACAGAATCTGAAAAGAGCTATGTGGTAAGAGATCGTTGATGCGCTGAATATAGACAGATCACTGGTGGCCTGGTTTGACTTCTATCTGTGTTTAACACGTGTGTCTTTTTGTTTCTTGGTAAAAACAATGTACACTCTCTTGCTACGCCTGCATTTTGAATCCTAACCCAATGCATGATAGAGCCAAGCTCACTGACATTTCTTTGCTAGAACAAGAGCATTGTCTAACGGCAACATGTTAACCGCATCAGGCTCTGCACTGCTGGTTTTGTGTATATCTGTACTAAATTCTACCTTCTTCTGTGTCTTGCCTGTCTTTTCCATGCTTTTCCCTGGAACTCTCCTACACTCCATGGATTTAATGGGATCTCCACTTCTCTTGTGCACTGGACTTATTTGATGCACTCTGGAATATCTCCATCTATTCCTATCTCTTTCTCTTGTTGACTGTCGACAGGAGGCGGTCTGCAATGAGATAATAAGCATTGCAGAGAAATCAGTCCGTTACTGCAGTACTATCTCTCACCCCTTTGACTATCGACACAAAGTGTCTTCTTATGACAATAAACAATGTTTAATCATTTCCCAGCAACCTCAAGCACAGCAAAGAAGAGAAAGCATAGAGAGGAGTCAGACGCCACAGGACACGTAAGTGACCAATAGCTTCACTTTCTTCCCATAGAATTTCTGGTTACTACAACTGTTGCTAATCTTTATATTTGAATGTCTGGACACAGAAGCTTGCCAGTGTTTGCCCAGTTCTGGCTTTTCCATGTTCGAAAGTTCGAGTTAGAACCGAACACGGGGGTGTTCGGCTCATCACTAATAGTTACTGAGAAATCCATTGATTCTGGTAGGTACTGTGTTCTGGAGCCAGAACGTTGTTTTTCATACTTCTGCTGTTCCCTATTGGTTACACAAAAGTGTGTTCTTGTCCCATTACAGTCCTCACCAGTGTATTAATCCCCAAAGTTTTGGGTGGGTGCAACAGTGTATGCGTATGGCGCCGGAAGTCAATCCATAAAAACAATGAAGCGTTCGCTGGCACTCCAAAGATCCATAAAGTCCTCTTTATTGGCATGACGGGCTAGATTTCACAGCGTATAGCAATGTTTCAGAACCCAATCTGGTTCCTTCCTCACAAGCACAGGAAGTGATGGGATGCTTCTGAAAAGGACAAAGGTGGCAGCTAAAGCACATTTATTAGTAGTTTATTGGAAGGGTTAGTAAATCTGTCAGGTTTTATTTTTATTTTGCTTTCTGTCTCCCCCTCACATCTGTTCCGCTGTATTTCCTGTCCTGGTGTTACTACCGTGTTTCCCCGAAAATAAGACAGACACTGTCTTATATTTTTTTTGGCTCAAAAAAACACACTAGGTCTTATTTTCGGGGTAGGTCTTATTTTTTTTAATGTACAACAATCCACACTTATTCATGTACAAAAATATCAGGGGCACCATACCTTTCCAAGAGCAATTTGCTAACCAATCACTGGCCTGTGACAGGAGCCGGCGCTATAGAGGAAGCATCAGCTTATGCGGCTCTGCTCCCTCCGGTGCCGCCTCGCTTCCTCTAGCGCTGGCTTTGTTGGTACCGCTGATTCTCTCCTGCGGCTCTTCAAGTTCCCCCTTATGCCACCACCGGCCCTGGGAATGGTCACAAATAGGTCTTATTTTCGGGGTAGGTCTTATATTTTAGCAATTCCCAAAAATAGTACTAGGTCTTATTTTCGGGGTAGGTCTTATTTTCAGGGAAACAGGGTAGGACAGAAAAAGAGGAGATCTTCTCCAACAGATATTCCTGGGAAGGCATACACTCTCTGTCAGTTTTTTTAATGTTGGCTTTGTTCCCAAATGGCGTGAGATTCCCAATAGGAAATATTTTAAATGGGGCACAAACAAAAACAAACATTGAATTTAAGTGAGGAAAGGTTGGACCTTATGACAATGCTTTTAGTGCTGACCTTTCTGTCCCATTGACGCATGCCACAATTTTTGTATTGGTGTCACAGGGAATGAAGGTGGGGGTAATCGCTCCAGTTGGGTCACAGGCAACAATACAAACTTAAGAGATATTCCGACTCCTACCCACTCTATTGAAAACTAAAATAAAAGTTGGTTGGAGTTGGACTTTAAGTAAAATATCAATGACCTTTCTGCAGGTGTTATCCAGCAGCAACCTCTGGCCTTTACTTACCTTAAGCTGACACTGGATTTCCTTCTCCTATTGTACATACCTGCGAGTGTTTCTGAATAGTGCTAGGAGAATCTCATTCAGCAGACACTTTAAAGTTGGCCATACACTGGTAGATTTTCAAACTAACGTTCATACGAAAAATCTTGTCAGAACATCCGATACTGCCATCAGAGACTTGATGAATGTCATTCAACATTTCGTTTGATTTAGCAAATGCATAGTTTCCCAAACGAAAACGACATTCACTGTTTTATTCATTCGAGAAGAAATTTCCATCCTGCTCCTTTTGATATTAGAAAATTTAACAAACATTTCTAAAATGCACTTTTTCAAACAAAATTTTGCTGGAGTATGGCCAATGTAATGCTTAAAGGAGAACTATGAGGTGAGTGATTTTCACTCAACCTCATAGTTTGAGTCGACATGTGACAATGAAACTGTCACAGGTCGGCTCAATAGATCGGGAAGTAAGCGAATACATACCGCCGCTTGCTCACTTCTCGATCCTGTCACTCACGGCTCCCTGCAGGGATTTCCCCCCCCTTGTCAATCACGCAGCTGGGTGGATCTCGACAGTAATGTTGGAGTCCGTCCCAGCTGCGGTATACTGAGCTTTGGGTCACGGGAGGACGCTAGTTTATGTCCTCCCATGACCCTGAGGAGAACTATAGGGAAAAACACTTACCCCATAATTGTTTAGTGTGGTGAGAACATTGTAACTTCTAGGTGTCGATTGATGTCAGGTTGGACGAACAGGGATCAATGTATGGTTCCCCTCTGACCTGGTCACAGCTATAATCCCCACTCTTATGCTTCTGAAATTAAATACAAATAACACATTCAAAATATCTGGAATATTACTGATTGCTCAGTATTTTGTTCACTATCATTTTGGTTCACTATCATACGTACTTACATTAACATGAGTTAAAAGGCACTGGCGACAGTGCCAGATAGAATGGAATTAAAGCTTCTGGGTACAGGAAATGCTAATGTGTATCATACAGCAATGTTCCATCATCTAAAGGTGGCTAAATAGAAATGCATGCCTTTTTTTTTGACAAAACACCACTGAAAAATTCCAGTTAATATTGATGTTTCATGTGATAAAGGGGCGTTGGGTCGATTAATGGAAACCTGTGCCAAGAAAAGTATGCAGGCAGCCGTTTCTGTGCTGATTCTGAAAATGCTAGTTGCCCAGTCAAGCTGATCCTCTGACTTTTTTTTTTGTTGATCCTCTGATTTTCTGATTTGGGACATGCATGCAGCCAGTCAGAACTCCATATTTGCATTTGCTCTAGATATGTGATTCAGGAAGTATTTGACCCATTAGATCAGCCCGACTGCCAGACAACTGCCATTTTCAGAAGGGCTCATCAATGGTACTCTCCATATTTCTCTCAGGACAGAATATGTACATACAGATTATGCATACAACATAAATATGAATGTCTATGTAGTGATCTATTTGATTATGCATAGTTTAGTAAAGACCCTCTTAATGTGGAGCATAGGCCAAAACGTTGACTACATCTGATGACATAAGCCTACATTAATTGTTTAGTACATTCTGATAACCATTATTAAAATCACTCGTGTAAAACTAGCACATTTTAGAAAATTATCTGTAAAGGGGAGAACCCCTGAATGTTGTTTTTTTTGTGTAACAGTGATTTTCAGCAAATGACCCCCCTGTCTTAGATGTCTAGCCAGAATTGTGGCTAGAGTAGACCAACAGCTGAATGATGTTTCGCATAAAAGGTCTTATAAACCATAATGAATGTATCTACTATTACCAATACATATTCAGTAGTGCCCAGTAATTCTGAAATGCCCTTGCACATTGTGTATGATTTGTTCTATTACTTTAGGATTGAAACATTGACATGCAATAACTTTTTTCTAATGACAGGTGAACAATGTTAACATAATTACAAATTTTTTCTTTAATGTGTTTATTATAGGTAGGGATGCACCGATGCTAGTATTGGTGCCGATAGCGAGTATTTGGGTGAATACTCATACTCGCCCAAATGCTCCGATAATTACCACCGATACCAGAGCTTTCCTCTGACCGGCAATGCCATGAGGAAACATGGAGCCGACTTACCGGCCAATCAGGAAGCCGGGCAGCGGGTAATGACACGCCGCCCGGCTCCCTGTTTGCCCGGGAAGGTGGCTCCATGCTAGCGGAAGTACCGGTATCTGTACCGGCGAGTGCTGATAGATAAATATCGGTACTTGTACTCCATACTGAAAAACCGTTATCCTTGCATCCCTAATTATAAGGTTTAGGATTATAACATTTTTTTTATAAATTATCTTCTAAAAATGATCTGTATGCCAACAGATCAAGCTGTTCAAACACTGGCCACTGGCTTCCAGGTGCAGTCATAATCTACACTACTGGATATTTGTATTCCAAGGTTCCAAAAAAATGTGCCATGAACTAACTGGTATATCATATAACCCAAGCCAGTCTTCTTCTCCTATTTAAAGAGTACAAGAATTCCTAGCTGCCTGAGACCTGTAATATTATTGGCCGGACATAGGAGTAATTTTTGTCCATACTAAGGAATATAGTTGGCACATTATCTGTGACAGTATGGCTGTGTATGGGAACCTTCATTCTGCCACAGATCACATTCTAGCTTTATTCTGTATAGAGTGCTAGGGGGCAAAGATCTCATTTTCAAAAATAGTAACCCTTAACAACCAGTCAGTCTGCTCAATCAGTACAAGATCAACACTGCTAGAATTTTATCTGAGTCCTGCTGACTTGACTGAAATTTGAGCTGTGGTTGGCTCTCTTGGCACCAGTCAATATGAAAAAAAGTTAATTTTTAAGTGACTTTTGTTGAAGGAGCTGTGTCAAAAATTGCTGGCCAAACAGTGACTGTCAGCTGCAGTAGGTATTCTGACAGGTATTAGGTGTTCTGTTGGTGGCTGTTAAAATAAAATAGCCCAGTTGGGAATATTTCACCATCCATGCTGTTTAGCGTGGCTGGGAAAATAATGAAAGAAATAGACTATAGCATAGCCAGCTTAGGTGATGGTCACTTAACTGCTATTGCTGAATTTCTGACTTCAATACTTTTAGTCACTGACCTGAATAAAGTAGACCGAAAAGGAAAGTCAGAAAAATATCAGAGATCCTTATCTGCATTCTCAAACTCAAAATATTGAGTCAAAAGAGTCGGCATAACACGCAGACAAATAGCATTTGCAGCAATGGTAGTCCCCATGTTTCTCTCAGTAATGGTTCCCTTTAAGAATTAGTACTTTGTTCCTTGCAACTTTTATTAAATATAATCGAGATTGTGTGCAAAGCACAGAAAGGGGACACAGATTCAACAACTGCAGTCCCTGATATATCTAACTAGCCTGTATAGTATATGACTTTATAAACTGCAAATTTGTGATGACACATGCTTCAGATGTAATTGCATGCC